GTCTAGCATTGTCTCTCTGACTTGCTCAAGACCCAAAAGGTTTCCAAAGGCACAGAGATCTTCAAACATGTGGTATGGCCTCCCCCTATGTCCCAGTGGCCCACCTCCAAGCAAGGGCCCAGCCTGGGGCTATGGCCTCCTTGGACGGCCCAGTGCTAAGGGGCTGCACCTCTGACTTGGCCAAAAGAGGACCTGGATGGGAGTGTCTGTGAGAAGGAAGGCCAGGGCAGTGCCAGGAGTTTGCTCATCTGCGCTCATTTAGAAACAAGTGACAGGGGCCAGGCCGGGGACGGGCAGTGGGAGGCCCTGGCAGGAAGTTGGCTGAAGGTGAGCAGAGACAGAGTGAAGGGACCAGCTGCCCAAAGGGCGGTGGGGGTGAGGGTGGGGCTACAGGCCTGCGGCCTGGTGACCTCCGCACCCCGGTGGCAGGCATCCCGTGTTCTCACTGAACTTAGGGCTCAAAGGGCAACTGTGGGGACGGTGGACATGACATGGGGGTCCCTGTCCAATAGAGCAGCAAATGCACACACTGCTTGTTCAGGACACATTGTCAGAGCCTCAGAAATAAAATAAAGCTGCTTGGTCTCCTGGTCCAGCCCCTCAGACAGGGCTGGGGAGGTAGAGTGACTTGCCCAGGGTTGGGGCCTTGGTCAGTGTCACCGGACTGCCTCTGGCTGGGAAGCCTGAAGCCCTCAGACTTTGTCTGGAGGCTTTAGGGGTGTTAGGATGGAGGGCGGGGATGCAGAATGACTTTCTGGGTCCTCCTCACAGGCACTGCCCTCCCCCTGCCCCGCCACAGGCTCTCACTGTGTGCAGAACCACCCGGATGAGATGCAGGTGAGACTTTTAAAGGAGAGAGAAGCCTCTGTTCCTCCAACCGGTGTCAGCCAGGGCTGTGGGGTCACTGGAGGCTTGGGCCCTCTTAAACCCACTGGGCATCTGCTTCTTCAAAGCCAGCATGAGACTGTCTTTCCAAAGGGCCCTGCCGCTCTTGTAAGAGCTCTCCTGATTAGGTGAGGCCCACCCTGGATAGCCTCCCTTTCTACTAACACGAAGAGAGTTGACGAGAAGCCTAATCGTGGGAGTGACTTCCTGTCATAAGCACAGGTCGGGCCGCACTCCAGGGGATGGGACTGTACCAGGTGTGTGTACCCAGGTCTCAGGGCCATCTGAAACCCTGCCTGTCCCAACCCTCACCTACTCCAACTCCCAGTCTCTCCCTACTCCAGATGAGAGATTTCACCAGAGACCAGCTTTGTCTCCTTAAAGTGCGCTTTGTGTCACATGCTGTCCCATCTAAAGAATGCATCACAGTTCACTACTTTCCCAAACAATGAGTCAAATCAAGACTCCTAGGATAAGAGCATTTCTGTTCCCAGAGAGCTTAAAAATCTTTCTAAATCCCTACTTACATACTTCAATCTTGTTTCCCCTGGGTCCTGGGACCCTTCACCAATGACTAGGGACCCAGCACAGAGTTCAGTGGATGCTGTGGGTACCCTAGGACTGAGGAAGTTGAGCCGGGCAGCTGCTGTGACCAGTGACCACTCAGCCGGAGCCCTGAGCAGTCCCCACCCCGAGCTCCTGCCGGCCACCCCATTGTCTTAGGGGAAACGGCATGTGAGCAGGAGAACTCTGCATTAGGTCAAAATGTTCCAGTCTGTTGGTGGCGAAGACGGCACTTTACCTCCTAGGAAAGGTGGTGTGGGAGTCCTCCAATGGCACTAGTGTGAATTCAAGTGTCGCTCCTTAGTCCCAAACAAATCAGGGCCAAACATCTTCGCCTGCCTTTCAATGTTACCCATTATTTGATGGAAAGTGAACTGTACAAATGTCCAGAATGCTGAATTAAAGAATTCATCCATATGATAGAATTTTCTATATCCATGCAAGAATAATGCCATATAAATATTCTATTGACAGGCAAAGATTTTCAAAATATGTTAAATTTTGAAATCAAGTTTCAAACTAGAATATTTAATATAATCCTTTTTATATATGCATACATATACATGTATATATACATATGAAAATATATGTAAATGTAATTACATACACATTTGCATAGGAAAATGTCTGAGAGGACAAAAAGTAAAATGCTAAAAATAGCTAATGGTGCATAAAAAGAGTGTATGAATTTTTCTTTTTCCTTTTATTTTCCAGTTTTTGATCAGTGAGCTGTAGTATTTTACTGTTTTGTCCACCCAGAATATCACCTTCTTCTCTTGTCCTCCTCCAATAGCTATGTAATATTTATGAAAGTAACTTTGAACAGAACCTCTGGACCAGGGATGAACATGTGACACAGGCCAGGCCAGAGTTCTTGCTGGGAGTAGGGACCCCCTCTCCTCTCTGTGCATAAGGCTGTTAACTTGGAGGAGCATGGAGCCAGGAGCCCAGCTCTCTGGCCCAGAGAAGAAAGTTCTGGCTACAGAGAACAGATATGTGTCAGTTCTGGGTGAAGGAGGAGACTAAAGTCCAGTGTCACCTGCAGCAAGTTCCAGGGCTTACCTACCCACAAAGTAAATGCCTAGCAGATCGGGAGATGGGATACGGACTGTCTCCTGGAGAAGCAGATATGTGACTGGGTGGGAGGTGGGAATACGAGCAAATCCCTTGGTCATGCCCCTTGCCATTTGGAAGGATATAGAGAACTTGACCTAGAGAAAGAGATATATTTCAAAGCAGGAAGAGATGCGGAGTGGGGAGTGGTTGGGAGAAGGGCTCTAAGCTATTGTCACTTCAGCTAATGCCCATTTATCTCCTACATGCTTTTGTCAAAGAGATAAGAGGATGAAGGCACATTTCCTTTGAGGCAGAACAAAGGGTAACGCATTCAGCAATAAGAGCATCTACCACAAACAGCATCTTCCCCAGGCGGACCTGGGAAGCCTCCTTCCTCTTCCGAAGGCATTCACATTCCACGAGGTCTGCTCTGTCTTTCCATCCTTGGAGACCATGTCACAGGGTGGCCACCTCTCTGTAAGACAACATATTTCTAATATCCAGAGACACACATTCAACCACTTTTTTATTTTTTCAAGGCACAATTATTTAAAGAACATTTATTGAGCACTAGTGACGTGGCAGATACATTGCTAAGCTCTGTAGGTGCAGCAGTGACTAAGACGTGCTTCAATTCCTACTATCAGATGAAGCCTTAGGATTGTGCTCGGACCACAGAGGGGTTGCTGCTGGACAGGCAGACAGCAGGGTTCCTGGAATGCTGGAAAAGACCTCTGTGAGCAGCATCTTCTCAACTGAGACCCAAGGCTGGAAGACGTTACCCACGTGAAGAAAGGTGAGGACTGCAGCACTGGGCCACGTGGGCAGAGACCCCGTGCTTTACCTGCAGACCTTCTGCTGGGTAACTCCCCTCTGGGTACCTGAGAGATGTCACCTCTGGGGCATCTAAACCAGTTTTAAGGCATTTACCCCTTTCAGGCACTGGTCAGAAAGTCTGAGGTTTTCCCGAGGTTTCTCAAGGGTTAGAGACACGTGTAATCATCTGACCTCTATTCTGTTGGGAACGTTATGTACACTCTCTGGAATCCCCACAGTTATGTAAAGGCAGGTTATCAAGACCCACAGTTTAGAGCTGAGGAGAATGAGAATGTGGTTAAGTCAGTTCTCCAGGGTGGCCCAGGTAGTCAGTGCTGAAACTGGGTAAAATCATCTCGAGTTTAATCCCAAATCAGTGTAAGACATCTCGTTACTTCAGCCTCGCTGGTTCTCGCAGACTGAATAAGCACTTTTAATTCAATTCTACTATTAGTCACTCTAGGGGAAGGGTAATGGATCAAATTTATAGGCCATTCAAAACTAATTCCTACATAGGCCTTTTGTGATGAATTTGAGTTTGTAAGCTAACAGTTTAGTTTAAGGTTAAATATGATACATTAAAAAAAAAGATGATTCATTCATACATCTCTATTTCTCTTTCCCCTAATAATTACATCATTCCTCTTTTTGACCCTTTCAAAGTTCCTGGGGTTGATGGCGCTATACATTTTGGCTCAAGAACTTACCACCTGGGAAACTAGTTATGCACTGAGATCTCCCTGAAGGAAAGACCACATGTATGAGCTCTTTCAGTACTTAAATACTAACATGTGTTTAACAATTAATTTAAGATTGGTCTACAGTTTCTTCAGGTTAAATATAGGCCCATTCATAACATAACAGTTGTTACTCTGGATAAGTGGAGGCTACATAAGACTAAAGACTTAATTTCTCCCCGTATGAAATTCTATTTAAGATCACTTCATACTTCAAAATTACTGAGGTTTTTCTTAGACTCACAGACACAGAATACAAACCTGTGGTTGCCAAAGGGGCAGGGGGTGGGAAAAGATAGACTGGGATTTCAAAACTGTAGAATAGATAAACAAGATTATACTGTATATAGCACAGGGAAATATATACAAGATCTTATGGTAGCTCACAGAGAAAGGAATGTGACAATGAATATATACATATTCATATATAACTGAAAAATTGTGCTTTACACTAGAATTTGACACATTGTAAAATGATTATAAATCAATAAAAAATGTTAAAATCAATAATAACTGTTAAAAAATCACTGAGGTTTTTCTGAATCAATGACCCATATTTCCAAATTGAGTAACTTGATGACAGAATTTGGATATATTTCTAGAGTCTTCAGAAATGTTTACCTTCAGAGGAAATAAATTAAAAAAAACATACTCTAGGGACCAGTATTTATTTAGTATTTGTTTTATAATGTTGGGTTCCCACTATTTGGTATTTTTATGGTAACTTCGCTGGTAATGGAAGTTAATGGCACATATGGAAGGTTATATCAATGGCATAGTAATGTATAAAAATTCAGTCACAGCCCTATGTGGCTGCTTCATAATCACTGTAATTCTTATGAGATAGAATCAAATTATTAACAACCAAGCAGAAGCCACTTTTCCTAAGTGCTTAAAGCAGGAGCTAAAAAAAAAAAAGAGTAATGCCCAAATCTGTCAGTATTAAGTTGTAAGAAAATATATTTTATTTTTTTCCATGACAATACTATGATAAAACTGTTAAATACATGCATGTTTTAAAAACAAACATAAGTAACATCTTCAGAGTTAACAGCCGAGCATACTAGTTTTACATTTAAGGTGTCTTAGTAATAGGTTACTTATAGTCTATGTTCTTGCTATAACCATGTTTCCCAAAAGATATGGAAACTAAATTCTGAAATTATACAATGATATAAAATGTCCAAATTTTCCCTTCTAACAGCAACATAATCTCCAAATTTTCACAAGGCAGAAAATACTTCAGCTGTCATCTCTGTAAATGGAGTTGTTTTATTCCACATTAAACTCAGAATTCTGTGAATCAGACTGAATCAGACAAATATACTGCAATCTATAATTTACTTCCTGTATGTGTATATTTAAATGTTTCCTGATATGATTAAGCATGAGTTTAGGTATAGAACATCACAGCTGATCATTCAGGTTTTTTGGGTTTTTTTAAGTCTGTAGTGGTAACATTTCAAGAAATGAAAAAGGAAACAGTTTTGGATCTGCAGTTTCTCCCTATCTTTCAGCTACATCTGCACACACCTGACCAAACGAAAATTAGTAAACAGTTACTAGTATTTATAAAAAACTGAAAATATTGAACATATAACATCCCTTTAAAAAAACACTCATTCTACAAACAACCTTATAAAAGACAAAAACTTGTATCTGTTCACAGTATGTGTATTTTGTAAACAGTAATTCACTATAATGCAATTTTGAAAGTAAAAAATGATAATTTCCTAGCATTATAAGGACTTCTGAGTTGTGGCCAGCTGATGAAAGAGAAGAAAAGATAACACATTCCTACTACGAAAGAAAGTTGAGGGTTTTAAAATGACTTTACCTTTGAACATACATTGAAGGTGGCACCATCTCAAATTCAGGATGTCTTTCTATCCAGGCCAATCTTTTTCAAGCAATTCTGAATTGAAATGTATTTAAGAAAAAGCCTTGCTCCTTTTGGACAAAATAATTGGATAAAACAAGTTCACAACAGTGAACGGAATAGGGTTTCTTTTTGTGATGTAGTCATAACGTAGTCACATTTTCCCAAAACATTATGTTGGAAGGAAAAAATTAAACAGAAAGATATATCATAAATAATGGAGAAAAGTATTGGAAATCAAACTGGAAACAGAGTATTTGAAAAAAATTTTTTTATGAAAATCATTATTCAGTATTGTTTCCTATGATCAACTACAAAAATATTGATCCTAAGGTTAAACCTAACAGTTAACTTGTCCATATTTTAATGAAAACTGTATTACCACCTAGAAATCTTTTGATCTTTTATAATATACCACTGGAACGCTTAGGAAAAAAAGTAAGTTCAGAAACCGAAAGTCACCTATTTAAAATGAGTATGTCTAAAGGAAAGTACATTTTAAATGTGTAAAGAAATTCAGCACATTTCAGTGAGCCATTCAATTAGGTATACAAAGTATTTTTGGCTTCAGTGCAGCATAAGGCCTATGTTGTTAGTTTTGTTTATTTGCTTTAAAGTTCTCATTGGCTACCGCAAAGGCTATCTTAGAAGATAAATGAAAATGTAATAAAAATCAGTTTCCTTGTCAATTAAACATCTCCCCCTCATTCACATCTCTAGGTTTTCAGGGTATTCAGTTATAGCAACCAAAAAGGAATATAAGTTACTACTGTTTTGTATTTGGTTAATGTTCAATCAGTTACAGTTTACTTATTTAAGAGCTTTTGAATTTATTGTTTCTATGGTTCTTCAGCTAGGCAGCTGCACATAAAAATATTCAGAGGGTATCCCTCTTAAAAGACTATTTTCAATTTTCATAAAAATGTTGCACAGTTAGAATTTGTCTTGCACAGGCAAATTCTCTTTGTAACATGGACACTTATAATCCAAAATATTAACATTCTTAATATGGGGAGAAAACAAGTACCACTCATGGTTAAAAATTACAGAATCCTGTCATAACTCAAGATCATAATTGTAAGGGTTTGGATATATTCAAATCACATTCCCTGAAATTTTACCATGCACAATAAGGCCGGATATATCAATTAGCTGATTGTTGTCCTTAATCTCCCATTAACAACATTGAAAATAGTTCACCTGTATTATAATTAGCATGAATATCATCATGTAATAGTTAAGAAAAAAGTATTAATTGAAAAAGAATAAAAAATCTTACCACCTTATCGAAACAAGAAGTTTAAATATTAACAGCCCTGGTACACAATCCATGAAGGTATAAATAGATCAAATTCAAAACAATCATTCCCAATGCTACCCGAAGGTCATGTCTATAAGATGCATTTCCAGGAAGTTTAGCCACAAATCATTTTCTTCTGTGAAAGATTTTCTTCTGGGTATGAAAAATAAGATGGGCATGGTACCAAGAAACTTTGTTTCAGCAGGAAATGCCAGTTTGAAATAAATAGTTTATCAAGAACAGGACTGTCTGTACTAATCCATTAAGCTCACACATCAATGTGTTGTTGGAACACATATGGGTTGGTACAAATATGTCCCAAGTGTGTACCCATCAAATAAAAAGATACTGTGAACACTTAAAATTAGGTTGGAGTAAGATACCTAGTGGTACTTTTGCATGAGTCTTTTCTAAGTTTTCACTCACACTGTGGAGTCGCTTCTACAGTAGAGTTGAACCTTCCAGCCAACAGTCTCAGATCTACACAAGCTAGATGTAAATGTGTACCACCTTTCAGGAAAACTCTGTCACTAAGACACTGACTGACCGTCCACAATGTGCCTAGTCTTTGTAATTAGCTAATGATCCCACATTTGACTTTTGATATGTCCAATTTTATACTTTCAAAAGAAGAAAACAAGGCATTTTATAAAAGATATCCACATTTCAACATGGTTCAAAACAGAAAACAGCAAAAATTACTTGAGTAAATAGGAAAAAAAGTTTTATCAGATTATGTGCCTGAACAGTAGAAAAATGTGAGATAACATTTTCTGCATATTGACATGTAAAGGAGTACTTTAATTTCTAAATACCATAAAACCAACTCCAAATTCCTTTTGGAAGAAAATGTTCCCTAGTATCCTTAACTAAACTACATGTAATTATTCAAACATAGAAAGGACTGTCATGTTCTTTAAATATGGACGGCATAAAGGCAATTGAGAATTCACAGGATTAATTTCCAACAAGAATACAAGTTGCATGAAGTTTTAAGAATGTGACTTTTACCACAGTTTCCGAAAGTGCAACAGGACTAGATGTTCTAAATGCAATCCTTCAGATCCATGAGCCGTGAAAGCAATGCTGGTATGGAAAATGAGGTTGATACTTCTGCCCTTAAACTTTTCCATGAATGGCTGCTTCTGTGTCTAAGCTGCGGGAACAAAGCACCTCTACCATCTAAGCACGTAAACACATGACTCAACTATCCTGATACGGGGGCCCAGGCTTCTACAGGGTCAGCACACTGAAGACTTCCATCGCATATGGGTGCCAATCCATGCAATACATAATCTACGAGGTCTATCTAATGTCAAAAGCCTAGCTAAGTCTTCCAAGAATATTTTCATATTAAATACTGTTTACTTAAGATGGCCACTCACAAGAGAAATGCAGTCACAATGACCACCAGAATCCCCATTCCTCAGAAGGGAAGATTGATTTGAAATGGCTGATGAGTGAACTGGCTTTAAGAGATGTGAAAACATGTCCTTTACACAGTACCATTCAACAGACATAATGGGATATGATGCTAGTTCAGACATTTAGAATTTTCTAACCAATGATTGGGTTTTAGCAGAAAAAGAGGGGTTTCCCAATTATTTTCCCAGTTAGGAAGGGCTGGAGGAAATACTTAAAGCCCCCTCCACCCCCAACTCTTCTAAGCAGTTTAGTTAGCCCTCCCCTGGGAAGAGATGCTAATCTGACTGGACAGAGCAAGCCTTCTTTTCACAGGTGCACATGGTCCCACTACTGACAAACAGTGCACATTTATCAGGGTCTCCAGGGCCACAATATGGACCGGATATGGGACAGAGGGTGTTTTCTCTCTCCCCTGCCCCCTCCTCTCTCCCTGTCCCCCTGTGCCCAGGTGGAGTGGGGGCTGGGGAGGTAATAACTTCCCATCTACACAGTAGGTCTGGCTGTCTTCAATTCAATGGGAAAACACAAGGAAATCTGTTCTGACCTCAGACTTAAACCACATTTTTCAAATATGCTACAGGTTATAAGGAGCCTGCCCCGACTAATAGAGCAGTTCTGTTTCTCATTAACCTACTGATCCCTGTGGACCGATCTCCAGAGGCAAGGGACAGGGGAGCTGCACTCTGAATCTTTTCCATAAAGAAAAAGTGGTGAAGTCTTGGACGGAGTGAAAGGACCAAAGAGCCCCGGTGATATTCACCATCAGCCAAACAAATGAGTTGTACAGGTTAGACAGGGCACTGGATCCAGATGGTCACAGTTGAAATGCACATGCATTCATAACAGAGATCAAACAATCTCTTCTGGCCTCTTATTATCTCAAGGTGGTGGAGTTTAGATCAATAAACGCTACCTTAGCCAACACTTATCCTAAAGAGATGAAGTACAGGACCAGTGAGTTTTGATGGGGAGAAAGGCACAAGTTGGGGTGAGAGGGGTGTGGTCATGACAAACTTTGGCAGGGAGAGAAGACAGCCCCAGGTCTCAGCATCTGGGAACTGTCTAGAGGTGGCTCTGGTTTGATACGGTTTTCACTGTTGAAGATGTCTATGAGCTATGATGTAGTTCTACTACACTGTGTGTACACATAATTGATTGTATTTCACTCTCCATGTCCATACATCAGGAAGCTCAGGAATTTAGCTGAAACCTAGCAATTAGAAATCAGGATTCACTGAGAGAGTACCTAAATAGATTTCTGTCCTTTTTCATCCTTGTTGTGGCTTTTTTCCACAACATGGTTTTTATAATGATACATTATGAACTAGGAAAAAAAACCCAATCCATTATGTGCAAACACATTACAGAAACTCAGACAATTAAGAAAGGCGTAGCTTGACTTATTCAGATCTTTCAAATTTTCACGTTACTTTTGCCTTACCTCTTAAAGGACGAAATACATAGACAACCCGAGGGCAGAGAAAATGTAAGATACACTTTAGAGTTTTTCATTCTGCTTTTCCAAGAACCACATTCATTCTAGACATCGCTTATGAAAACCAGGGGTAGCAGAGGATGCTGTGAAGACACAACTCTGGACAGCTCCCAAAGCAACTGCTGCACCTTGAATACAGGTACGCCCATCGCTTCAAATCAGTTTCATGACACTTCATATAAAATAGCCCTTGAGTATCTGTCCCCATAAGAAGCATTATCTTTTCAGTTTTATATTTAAAAATGTGAGGACTGAATCAAATAGTCTGGACGGATGATCATTTAAGAGGGAGGAACTGCTAAGATGCACAGGAACACCTACTATGAAGTGTCAAAGATCGTCACTGCCTGGGCAGCCGGGGCTCAGAGTGCAGTCTTCTCAGGAGGACCTGAAGCCAATCAGAACTACAGAGACAGCTAATGCTGCCAGATATTGCTTAGTAGTTGTCTCAAATAGTAAGTCACTGGGATTATATATGTTTATGAATAATATTTAGTTTCTTCATATATTTATTAAATTGACACTGTGTCACTGAAAAAATTTCTTAAAAACTTAAGATCGATAGTCTTAGAAGTTTAAGTTTTAAATATTAGGGCAACCTAATTAGGGAAGCTAGCATAAAAGCTAAAAAGTAATGAAACGGTTTGAAAAAGCTACCAAAGGAAGAAAGCATGATTCTGATTTGGGCTGGTCAGTGTCACACTCGTTTTCCAAGTTTGTACCCCTGAGAAAACTGTTTGCTAACCATTATACAGTAGGCACAGAAATCAGTATACTTTATCAAACAAAACACTAAATAGCTGTTACTACATTAAAAATTATACCAACTTTCTTAAATGTTGCAGGGACAGAGAATAATGTCAAAACTTTGAAATTTTTGTTTGGTTTTCATCTAGAATGGAGCAAAGGCCAAATAAACATCATTGTTTCTCTGATATTTTTCGCCCTTGCCTGCAAATCTGCTTGCAATTCCATAAAGTATATGCATGAGAAAACCTGACGGTGGACAACAGAACAGAATATAGTTACTGCGGGATTTGTTTCACAGGTATGGACTGGGCAGTATTCATTACTGAATGCTTCTTGAAGGTAGATCGACGGGAGAATTTTTTGCCTTGAATCAAAAATAAGCTCCAAATCATGAGATGTGTGGACTGAATTTCTGAGTTACTGTACTTTGGCTTTTAGACTAAAGCATTAAAAGCACATTAACACTTGCAGTGTAACTTGCGCGAGTGAAGTCCACCTCAATACTTCACAGGATCCCTCCCAGACGCCCAGTGCTGACGAGAGCTTAATGAGATGGCAGACTGAAGTGATGGGTGGGGGAGGCGGAAACAGGACACTGTTAATCGTTTGGTTTGTTCTGAAAAAAGTTTGTGAAGGACCACCCTCCTCCACTGGACTTAGGCGACTCTTCATCTTTAGGAGGAATCAGAAATTGTCGGGAGTTAGTGGAGCATGGACTTCCAAAAGAGACAATCTCACTGTTGCTGTCTGTGGACCTAGGTGAGTCTGGAGATACTAAGTTCCAAGTATTTACATTCGCCTGAGGTCGGTAACCTGCAGTTTTATCTAAGTCGTCCTCTGCAGCTAGATCTTCCACAGTAGAAGTAACGGGGAGGTGCATCTGTGGCTTATAGCCTGCCCCCCCAACAAGGTCATTTTCTGGTTCTTCCTCTGGCTTTGCCTGAGGCTGATACATGGACTGGATGTCAATATAAATGACTTGTGAGGCCCCTCCGGCTTCATCGGCTCCGGGGTTGGCTATCTCTTCCTCAATGACCGGTGGACAATAGGATACAACCACATGGTTTTCGGGTTCCACATCAGAGCTATCTTCCGGACGCTCAGCTACTGGAGAAATTATTTCTGTATCTTCTGTTTTAGGAACCATGGATCTCGTTTCCAGAACCTCGACATTATTTGGGGTACAAGGATTCATTTCCAATGTTTTAAGAGCACTGCTTCCCTAGGAATAGATTTTAAAACAGGGATTAGGGATGGCACAAAAAGCTGCTGCAGCACCCTTCCTACAAAAAGAAGCATTATCTTTAATTTTTTTTCACAGCTCTACTATTCTGTAGTGCATACTAGAGCAAAGTTACTTTGTTCTTTCTACATATCAGCATTTTCCTTGCTCTTAATAGTAGTGGGAAAAAAACCATGTGCAAACAATTTAAAATGAATAATTTCAGGCGTTCAGCAGATGTTAAAGCATTGCTATTTTCTCAATACGTTTTACTTTGGATGACATCTACCTATTAAAAACTTTTCACAAAAGGCTAACAAAAGGAAGTCAGTACTTCAAAGAGAAATGTAAGAAAATAAAGGATTACCTCACAGACACTCTTTTGAAACTGTAAAGCTTTACAATTTTCTGGATTTGGAATATCAGGGTAGAAGGTTTCTTTAATCCTTTAAATAAAGATGATTAAGTACATTTAATAGTGATAAGATTATCAATTAGACAACAAATAAGTTAGTAAGTTATCAGGCTTATTTGGATGTTTCATATGAATACTCTAATTTGAACATCTGAGATAAAACGATGATCATTTTCGGTGTGATCACTTGCAAGAGCTTTTGACACGAGACACTGAGAGTTCCTATCTGAAAACTAGAAATAGTACTTCTAATTCTAGAACTGCAGTATCTTACGTATCTTATGGAACTGGAAAGCAAAGAATTAACATGGTGATTGTGTTACCAAGTCAAAAGTATAATACGGGCATTACTCATCAAACCAAAATGTTCACACTGCAAACTGGATTAAGCACGGTCGACTGCTCAGGGAACACATCTGCATTATGCAGTTCTCCCCTGTTCTTAACAGGCTTTAGATGATCAGGAAAATGAAGGCTATTCATCTTGAGCAAAAACTGAACACAAACGAAAAGGAAATTTGCTCAGTGCCCTATCCTATTTACAGCTGTTAAAAAGAACATTATTTGAAATTCATGCAGGAAAAAACCAAAACCAAAAAACAACTTAGCTTATTAATTTAAGTCCGAAATGCTCTAACTTCCAAACTATCTCTTTATTTTATCTCCTTTTTGTATTGAAATAATTTTTAAAATGCGATTTTTGGTAATGAGAATTTTGTTACCAAAACAGGGCAGTCTACAGTTCTAAACTATTACTGTTTTGATTCAGAAGCCAGGGTTGTTAGAATATGTTCTCTTCTTCATCACAAACGGTACGTAGTTAAGGCCAGCAAGGATCACATACACATGAGCTAGGCCTTCGGCCCCGAGCCCGGCCCAGGACAGCTCCTGCCGGCTGATTCCGCGGCACCCTCTCCTGAACCCCTGCTGACCTCACCTCGGCTCGCCCACTCACTCTCTCGCTGCACCCAGACACACAGTTCCTCTCATTTCTCCAGAAGATCAAGTTCTCACCAATTTCGGGGCCCTCACAGAAGCTACTCCCTCTGCCTGGCACATTCTTGCCCGCTCCCTCCTCTCTGGGACTCTGCTCCAGCGGAACTCCCACAGGAAGCACTGGCTGAGCGCCTCCAGTGCCCTTCCGAGCACCCACTCACACTCTGTACACCTGTATTTACTGAATGAGTATGAGTTTAATGTTCATCCTCTCCACTATCCTCTAAGTCCAAGGACCATGCTCATTAGTTCACCATGATATCCTAAATGAATAAAAGTGACCACACTTTCTAAATAGGTCACCAGGACAAATGAGATCTTAATCATTACATTATATTTAATCTTGCATATTAGCTATTGCCATATTTATGACTGTAAAAAAAATTTCTGAGTGTAACTGTTATTACTTTAATTAGTAAATACAGTAGGGAAAAACTGACTTTTACTCTATTAATTTTAAAACCTTTAAATAATATGCCATATTCTTGCATAATATTAACTCCAACACATTAATCCTAACACAGACATTTTTTAATACCTAGCTTCCATCAAAAAGATGTACTTGTTTGTTAACACATAAATGAAATATTCATGCCCTTAAGAACAAAACAGCAAGAGTAAATGATTACCATTCTCGTTTCCGATAGCAAAGGATACTCGTTACCACTCCAACAATGACAGCCACCGCCACTGGGATGAGAATGGCGATAATTAATCCCACAGCTGAAAAGAGAATATTGCAAATATTAAAGTCAGTATTTTTTGTATAATCTATAGAATAAACTTATATTACAAGATATTTAAGTTGGTAGGTTTTTTGAAGAAAAAATAATCCTAACTTCTTGAGAGACACTGGAAGACTATTAAAATATAATCTTAAAAAGTGTAATTTTATACTAATACTTAAATAATTTTTATTCTGATACTTGGTATATACTAAATATACTTGATTTTTATACTAATACTTAAATTCTTCAGAGCAGGGTTTCTTCATCTTGGCACTAGTAACATTTGGGGCAGGTATTTCCTTTCTTTGTTGTATATTTTTTGAGGAAGAGGCTGTTATGCACTGCAGGAAATTTAACAGCATCCTTGGGGCTCTAACCACCAAATACCAGTAGCACCAACCAAAAATGTCACCAGACACCATCAAGTGTTCCCTAGGAGGCAAAACCACCCCCAGACGAGAACCAAATCTAAACAGCCCTTTATTTAAGGGCATGTATGAACTCCAACCTCGGGCTGGACAATAAGCCTGTGCTCAAATGAAAGTTCTTTGCTGTTGACAAATAGTCAAGTCCATCATTCTTCTCTACTTTCATCTTAAATTTATGAGTGTTGTTCTTTACACTTTTTTTTTAAGGATACTTCTTACACTCTTCCCTTGATATGTTAAAAATCACAGAATATTTCTGACAAGAAATTTAAAACTAGTTGACCGGCATATAAATTCAACATGAATTTAGAACTCTAGACTTCAGATGCATCCTTAATTCATTAATTCTTTGAGTACTCACTAGGGAATTGCTTCAGATAATTAGTAAGAACAAATATGAAGTCATCCTATGGCCTTTTTAACAATGTCCTCTACCCACTATTAAAGTGCAACAAAATGTGAAAAGTAAATAATCACTAGAAACAATGCATTTAAGTATGGAAAGTATCTTGGTGGCAACATTTAACTCACAATTTTCCTTTGTCACCACAAACATGCTCTTCTCTGGGCCCATTCCTCCATCCGTATAGGCTCGCAAGACCAAGTGGTAACTGGTTTTACCTTGCAGATCAACAATTCTCAGTGTCTTCTGGGATATGTCAGTAATATTCTTAACCTTTATGTCAGAACGACCTATATTTAAAGAGAAGATTATCACTGATCTCTATACCAATTTAAACACATGGTTATTAGCAGCTGTCCTTCCCACGTTCCTTGTAAGTGATTCTGAATGCTGGCCGCCTGCAGGGCCAAGGCCCATGGAGCCAGCCAGAGCCACGTTCAAGTTCTACCCCTGCCAGTTAGTGGATATGTTATCTGGACACATGATTTAAACCACTGTGAACCTGAGTTTCTCTAACTATGAAGCAGAGTATCACGACTTACCTCACTGGGCTGTGGGAAGTTTTTGTACACATATTCTATAGAATAACGCCTGGCATACAGCAAACAATCAGTAAGTCTTCTCTTTCTGATACCAACAGCACTGAAACCCACCACAACCCAAACCCACTGGGGCTGATCATGCCTGTGAATCGAGAGAGAAACTCCAGGGAATAAGAGAACAAATCAGCAGGGACCGCTCCAAATCACTCAGGAAATGAGGCAGTGCATCCAGGTTCTCAAGCGAGACACCAGTGAGGAAGCCTTGGCATCATTTCAAGAGGAAGTCTGAAGAATTGTTCAAATGATTATTTTTAAAATTTGAACCAAAATAATGCAAGACAATAGTTTAAAAATTAAATCACACTGAATGACTAACAAAAAGTAGCATTCCCTGCCAGCACCTTCCCCTGCCACCTGCATCACTTTAAAATCATGTTATCAGTTGCTCTGGGTATTTACTTTCACATTTTGTGATAAACTTAGATTGGCAGTGCTGATTTTGAAATTTTAGACATTGTCTACTCATGTCCTACCAGGCAGATGGAGATTCAGCTCTCACACAACATATCCCTTCTCCCCTCAGCCCACATAATTCACACAGAAACATCAGAACACTTGGTAAACTCAGTATTTACATGACTGAGATCATACAAATATGGATTAATGCCAAGACAAATTGCCCACTACGATCATGTTTCCTTTCTTTCTTTCTGTTGTTACAATGGCTTTTCCCCCTTATTTGCTTGATGTACCAATTCCTAATTCTTCCCACATCCTCCAATACGATGTTCCATGTGGTCCAACACAACAAAATCCCAGTGCCACTGCCTCCCCCAGCCCCTGCCCACTTCCCTCCCAGGCTGCTTCCTGGGGCATCTGCTCTGGACTGGAAACCTTGTCCTGGAATTCCCTGCCCCACTTATTTCCTCATGTTGATGCATGACTTCTAGTAGCTTCTGGCGAAGGGATATAGGCAGGAAGTAAATAGATGTAGCCTTACATGTCTAAGAATGTCTTCATTCTACTCTCATATTAGTCGATAAATTAGCTGGGTACAGAATTTTAGGCTGAAAATAATTTTTACACAGTATTTTGAAGACGTCGCTGTGATAGCTTCTCGTATCTGGTAAGTTGTTGAGAAGTCTGCAGCCATTCTCACCCTAATCCCCTGCACAAGAGCTGCTTTTGTCTGACTGTTTCTGGGACTTTTTCTTTATATATTAGGTGCTCTGAAAATTCATGGTGACATACTTGGGCACAGATCTTTCTATTTATTTTATTTTGTACTTGATGGGACCTTTTACTATCTTTCAGTTTGGGGAAATTTTCTCCTACTATTTTTTTTTGATAATTTTCTTCTCTCCTTTTCATTCTTCTCTTGAACAGAACTCCTGTAAAGGAGGACACTTCAGGTCTTTGACTCAAGCCCCAACTTTCCCATCTTTTCCTAGTTTTCTTTTTACAAGTTTTCTCCTTTGTCTTTGGTTTTGAGAAGAATTATTCTATTTTTCCATTTAATTTCTCTACTTCTATTTAATTCCTTAAAAATTTATTTGATCATATTTTTAATTTTGAGGAGTTCTTTAACTGTCTTCTGATTGTCCCTTTTTATAGCATCATGTCTTTTCAATAAATACTGGCTATCTCAACTATCCAAGGATAGTTTTGTTTTGTTTTAAATTTTTTTTGTTTTCCCACAGTGCTCTAATTTCTCCTAGCTTCTGTCTTTCACGTTAGAAGCCTCTCCAGCACCTGTTTATCCCTGGCTGCTAGTTATGTTCAAGAGCGAGCCTCTAAAAGGCTCATTGGAAGCTCGGGGTACATAGTTGGGGTTTATTGGCTGGTGGGCTTCACTTATCACTGGTGGGGAATGACGGGGGGGGGGCTCCTGACTCTTCACTGGGAACATCCCCCAAATATTAGCATCTTCTATGTCTTTCCTCAGGAGCCATTTACTTTAGTTCTCTCACCTCTTACCAGGGAAGTAGGCCCAGCTGAAGATGTCCTATTAGATGGGTGGGAGGAGGAAGAGGGGAGGTCACACCGTTTACTAAGGCTCCCTGTCCTGAGGCTCTCTGGTTCAGAATAAACCTTCTGTCCTCAGGCAGGGGAGAGGGCACTCACGTTAGCTGCATGAAGCTGATATAGGACTTGGGAGTTCTAACTGCTCCTTACTGACTTTCAATCAGCTCCCACTGTTCAGCCCAGATGCATCCTAACCATTGGCCCTCACTCCTGGCCCTGCAGGATGAACCAAATGACTTCTTACTGAAGCCCAACCGTCCACGTAGACTTCCCTACCTTCTACTCCTCCAAGTCACTTGTCACACTTCTACCCACTCCCGTTCCCAAATCCTCTTTTCTGGCCCCTCCAGTTCTCTGTGTCTTTATGTGTTGGTTTTTCTCTCTCTCTTTTATTCTACTTTTAATGACCAATTCAGCCTAACCAGAAGTCTACATGCTAGAATTTTAACTGGTTCAAGTGTAAAATTTCTGAGCATCTGAGGGAAATTACACTAGACTCTGGATGTTTGCATAATCTGATTATTTAGGGCTTCCCTCAACTTTGATGGCTCAGGAATGCAGAACATAGAGATGTGGGGCAGGTGCTCGTTTACGCAGCTGCTCTTAGGAGGTGACTAAGCTGATGCCCAGTTGGTCAGCATCTCCGTGTAGCGTTGCTGTTCTCTACTTGTCAGAAAGGCACCAAACAATTTAAATGGTTTCTTTCCAAAGAGAGGTCATTAAGGAAAATGAAAGCTCCCAAACTGAAGAGATGATATGCTTGTGTTGTTCAGCCATGAATAAGAAACATCTGACTCCCAACAGAAACATATGACTTAGGCTTTAAAAGCCAAAGGTCTGCATAAACATTTCTGCATTTGTAACTCTGGGGACTCTCAAAGGTCTCTGGACAATTGTCAAGGGCTGAATATGCTTTTTAATGGATACACACATCCCCAGTCAACTTAATTGGGTCTCCCAGTTCATTAAGGCTGTGGCTAACTGGGTGGATGGCTCTCTGTCAGATAAAAGGAGGCTCCGAGGCCAATCTTTAGGTTCCTGAGTTTTCTCCTCCATTATTGTAAGGTTTTTTTTTCAAGTAATCTTCATAAGATGCTATGTTATGGATCATGCAAGACCAGTAAGAGATGGTCTCTGTCCCATGGGGCACAAAATCAAAGGCTTCAGAATAAATGGTTTCTGAAAGACTACATGCCATTTGTCACATACTAAAATTTTAAAATTTTCATATTCATCAAATGATTGCATTTTTACTTCCTTATTTTTCAGACAGTTTTGGAAACCAGTCTAAACTACTCAGCAGCATCTTCCTTCATGCTTTCTTTCCTCTTCTTCTTCTTCTTCTTTTTTTTTTTTTTTTTGGAGTTAATGAAGAACTTCTAAGACACAGTGTACTTACTCTAGTATTTACTCACCTGATTCCAAACCCCTCATCTTAGATGTGTCTCTTTCTCCTTTTTCAAAGTAAAATAAATATCCTCTTAAAAAGCCTCTAAGCTCTTCCACAGGAATATCTTCCCATCTCACTAATATCGAATCTGCAGATGTATCCTCAACAGTAAAATTTGGTGCAACAGTTGGAGCTATGAAAGGAGAAGGGTCAGTATTTAAAGAAGAGATTACTAATACAGAGTAAGGCACTGAGGTTTAGTGAGATTTCTAGCTTCAAAAATAGTTAAACTTGGAATTAGAACTTTATTCTCTATTGAATCATAAACTTTCACAGATATTATCACAAATGCTTTTGCTGTGAAGCTTATATAGTAGTAGTAACCAGAGACACAAAGGTAGAACTTACATATTTTAGATATAATACCTATCTGGGGAGGTAATCTATGCAAAATCTTTAAATTTTTCTATTGAGGTGGCCACTTAAATAGACTTTTACTTGTATTTCCCCTCTTTACTGATAGTCTTCAATAAGTTAATATTTTTAAAAATTTGTGTAAGTGCAAATTAGGTAATTTCTGAAATCCAAATTAAGATTTAATTTTCTCAATGACAATAGTAAAATTGTGAAATATAAATATTTAAAAAATGAAGAATAAGTAATTACAAATAATTTTATAGTTATCAAATTATTTTTCTTCCTTGAACAAATAAACAGCTCAAATCAACCTATTTTTAGAATTCAGTCTTACAACTGTTATCCATTTATAACTTGTCGTGTTATCTTGAACTCTAAGAAAACTAACCCATTTAACTTACCCAATTCTTCTACATATCCAATTATAGAACGTAATAATTGATATCCTTGATTTCTGCATCCATACAGGAAAAAATTGTATCTTACGCCTGGTCGAAACTGATCTATAGGATGAACACAATCAATAAACTTTTCTAAGTAAATATTACTGTAAATATCTATTTTAGAAATATCAAACTTATAACTTACTCTGAAATTTCCAATGCTAATTTTAAAAAGATTATAGAAAATACATCTGCATTTTCAAAATTGGTAAATATTCAGAATGAAAAATTAACTCGGCAAAAATCAAACAAATTCATTTCTGCTGTAAAGTTTAGTATTATAACATGACATCACCTTGAAAAGGAAAAAATGGTAATCAAGACCTTCATTTTGTTCCTTCAAATCAGGCAATGACGACTTCTCCCCAGATTTGATCCAGGGTCAGTTTTCTAACCCATCCCAGGTCCAGATCACGCATATTATGCCTCTGAAAAGCCCTTCCCTAAATAGGGTTATTTCTGGGTTGGAAAGAACTCATTGTTCTTTCCTTGTTCCAACAATCAGATACTAAAATTTCCACTCTACTGTGACACTTCAGTGTCAAAGGAAATGGGCCTTAGTCTATCCTCTCCACAGCATTGCCACGGAGTGCCCCTGAGTTAACTCCACAAGACATACAAGAGAAGCAACTTTAACTTCAATCCAAGGTAATCACTTTTAAATGCCGACTCAGTACAAGGTAGTGCGTAAAGTGTTGGGACCACAGCAGTGCACTGTTACCAAAGCCCCCGGCCTGGGGCAGTCGGCAGAGAGTTGGGGAGACACATGAGGAGGGGTCCCCACAAGACAGTGTTTTGACTAGGGGGACCTTTCATAGTCTGTGGCCCCTTCAGTGAGGGACCAAATGAGGCTAAGAAGGTCAGAAAAAGCCACCAAGAAGTGACATTTGAAAAGAGCCTTGAAGGATGCTTAGTAGCTCACCAGCAGCGATCTGGGAAGAAGAGACTGGGGGGAAATGGCAGTATCCGGGACTGCACTTAATCTGTGGAATACAGTCATTTTCGTGCGGCTAAAGCACTGGCTCTCTGGCTCAGAACACCAGTGCTCCACAGGCTGGAAAGTGAGATGGTCAACCTCTAAAATCACTTTGCGACTTTTTTCTTTGGGGACAAGTATGCTTCAGGTTCTGATTCTATACCACATGTATGTTAGGAAATCTGTGCCTAGTTTTATGTTATAATTATGCATATCAATATTCTCCAGGGTTTTGCTGCCTTAAAAAGAAAAAGAGCCCATGTGTTTTGAGCATTAGAAACGTGTTTTGTGGTCATAAAAGAGAGTGGGAAGTTGAAAGAGTGGATGCCTGGGTGAGAAAGGAATAGGAAACGTGCCCGCTGTGGCCATACTCTGTCCCAGCAGCAGTAAATAAAAGACAAAACCCCCAGCCTCTTAAAGCTCTGAATAGCTCTGAGTTGCTTTTAAGTTAAACCCTGGTGTGATCAGATACTAGCTTTGCGACCTTGGGCAAGTTACCGAGCTTCTCGGAGCCTCTGGTTTCTCAGCTACTGTAGGTAGGGCCTTCGCTCACATGCCTCAGCGTGGAAAGTTCTCCATCTCACCCAACAGGTCTCAGCTTAAAGTTACATCCCAGGTATTCTATCTAAAGCGATGCTGGTCCACATCACTCTACCCTGCCCCAGTCCATTCTGATTATTCTCCAAGCCCGGGTGAGAAAGGATGGAAGTGGGGTTAGAATTTATGGAGTCACTAGTACTGGGTCAGACTCGGGCAGCTACACACAGGGGAGACGCACAGGGAGGTGCGGGAAAGAAGAGGGCGAGGCGCGGCTGGGCACGCTGCTAAGTGACATGTGCAGCGAGAAAGGACGAGGGCGACCCTCAAGGCCTTGGCCAACTGTGCATGTGAAGGAGTCTGGCTGCATTCCAAGCAGAACCGGAAAATAATCTGAAGCCACATGTAGGAACCCAATGAACGGGGCTCATCCTCACCATCTGACAGTGAACAAAGTAAATGAGTAGAATGCGTTCCCAGGGAGAGAGAATCAGCAGCTCCCCTGAACATCACTAACACGGGAGGGAGAACCGTAAGAGGGGAACGACGCCAAGAAGCATCACTGCGACACGTTCCAGAATTCCCACAGGTAGAGGCACAGTCCACGCTCGTCAGCTGCTCAGAAGGGGCAGTGATCATGACAGGGGGCTGTAATTCCAAAGGACAAGGCTGCTTCAGCCTGGAGGCTACCACCATCCTCCTGGCTGAACCTCAGGCTGCATCGTATCAAGGGCAGCTCACAGCCTGGGGCAGCCGGGCACGGGGTCGGGGGGGCTGCCCTTGGCCCCCTGACCTACACCAGGGAAAGTGGTGATGGGAACAAGTCCTTCCTGCTCAGCAATCCAGGCCCTGGGTGAACGAGGGCAAAAGGAGGATGGGTGAGATCACACCGCCGAGAGCTTGTAGTCTTCTTTTCTCTCGAGCACTGCCCTCTGTTGTTCCACCTTGAGTGCTACTTACCTTTCCATTTTATAAATGAGCTATAAATCACCTTCTCCTATTTGTTACTTGGGATGTTTTCAATTTTTACAACTATAAATAATGTTATGGTGAATGTTCTTAGTTGTAAATCTGTGCTACTCTCTGATTATTTCTCAGGATAAATTCCTAGGTAAGTAATGACTGGATCCAAGGCTATGAATCGTCTCACACACATAGCGCCACAAACCGCCTTCCAGAAAAGTCAGACCAACCCACACCCTGCCCAGTGGTGAGGGAGAACAGTCACTGCACTGCAACCAGTCACTCCATGTGTTGCTCTTTTTTATAAAAATACATATATATTTTTGATGGTGAGCATGCTGCAGTGTACACAGGGGAGAAATATAATGTTGTACACATGAAACGTACAATGTTATAAACCAAAGTTTTCCCATTAAAAAGTAAATTCAAAAAACATTTTAAAGCACTTTAACTGAGAGACACTTACCAGATTCTATTACAGTTTCAGTGCTATTTGAAGGCACTTTTTTCCAGTCCATGAGGCAGGGTTCAGACCGAGATGAGTTACACCATTTAATTACATAGTCGCAAGTCATGTTGGGGTCGTAATTCCAAGTGAGGAGAATCCCATTTCCCATTCCAACAGCCTGCTCTATTTTGAGATCATCTTCAAGAAAGAAGGATATTTTACCAGCGTTAAAAATAATATTTTAAGGTAAATCTCAGGAAAATGGGCAAGAACTACAAAAATTACTTCGCTGTACAGACATTTCAAAACAGTGCTAAACTAGATAAACCTTTAGCAAAGTTTAGAAGTTGTTGTTCTGTCGCTTTTGTTTTAACAGTAGCAACCACCTGTATGTAAAGATTAACTCAGCAGCTGAAAAAAGAAAGCAAACAATAAGAAAGCACCTACGATCAGGTAGTGATGTAGCAGGGCAGGGACCCCAGGACCAACAGCCGTGAGGGATGGGGCAGAGGGACTTCGGGTACCAGAGGGGATGCGGCATGGCGGCAGGGGCAGGAGGAGGGCAGGCGGGAGGCAGGTGAAGAGCATGGGGTGGACGATCAGAATCCCTCCTCCCTTGAGAGCAGACGGGGCCCTGTGCCTGCAGCCCCAGCCCTGGGCACAGACCGCATGCGCAGAACAGGAGCACAACGCCACGCAGTGAGTGGGTGGGTGAGCCAGCCCCTCTCTGCCTCTCAAGGAAGACTGCTACCCCACGGGTGGGCTGATGGGATTCTGGAGACAGGGCAGGGAGAGGAGGGATCCACTGAAATGCGGCGGGATGACACGCTGTGGGATGGGATGGATGGCAGGTATGGGCAGGGAGGGAGGAGTGCTCTGGGGTCCAGGAGGGGTGAGTCACAGGGGCTGGCAGGAGGGGGCCAGGGTGAGGTTTGGTCTTCCCATCCTGCCAGAACTCAGCCGAGGTGATAAGGAAGGCCCAAGGTTGGGGGTGAGGAATTGGTGGGCGTTAGGACAGTGTGGCCAAAGGGCTGGGGGAAAGTTCCCACAGTAACAGCAGGAAGAAGTAACTTCTATAACTGAAGCCTATTTAAGGGTTCAGTACAAAGCCATGGAAAGGCTTACTGAACAAATTTGCATTCATAAGCAACTACTACTGGACACAAGACAACAATTTGGCTTAGAATACAGAAGACTTTGGGTGTGACAGCTTCTTGGCTCAATGTGACTAAAAAACCACAATGGAAACCTGGGCTGAGGCTGCAAGGCCTCCAACTCGGGAAATCCTCAAGAAACAATGGTTTGTTCTGGTCTCAGCAACTGTCTGGAAGCTGATGACCAGACCACTGTTATGTCTATAAATTACTGCCTCTTGAAGGACACATGGAAAAGGCAGGAATATAGTTCTTGAATTAAAAGGTAACATGGCTACTGCCTGTTGCTGTAAGAGCCATGAAATACCTAATCTAAGGCAGCAGGTTATTCTGCTAAGGGTGTTCACACCTCTCCCTCTTTTCTTTTTTTTTGCCTCCAGACCACCACCTACAGGCCTCTCCTCTCCAGTGTGCACTGCCACCTGGGCTCTGGCCTGTGTTGTATGTCTCTGAAATGTACTTGTGCGCCCCAATCCTTCCTTCTAACGTGCCAATGACCGACTGAAACAAAGAACCAACTACAGAACACGGTGGGAGACACTGCCTCATGCAAAAGCTGAAAAGATACTTATGACCCAAACTGGACCAATTTTTTTCCTCTAGGAGTGGGTAGGTCGTAGAAAGGTGTCCCCATATTGGGGCAGGACAGCAGGGTGGAGCAGGGAATAAATCAGGAGAGGAGTTAACTGGGAGAAGAAGTGGGAGTGGCCACTAAAACCTCGGGTCTCACAAAGCTGTCAGGGCAGCTAAGGAGGAATGGACTAATCACTGGTAATTCATAAAACGTAAAGGGGGCACTAAGGAATTTCAAAATTACATCACAATTTTTTTTAAAGCTTACGTTGAAGATCTAATTTAGACTTTAAAAGAATTTCTTACCGATAAAGGATTCCTATTGATAAAGAAAGTCTTATCAACAAAGCTGCCACTTAAAATGGGTATTTTTTCTTGCCTGACAGTTTGAAAATAGCCTGGCTGATGTAAGCACCAACCCTCATGGTCCTGGGGAGATATATGAACATGGTATCTGAATAAACTGCTAGAATATTTCTTCCTGAGGGTAATATCCACCACCACGACTCTACGACATTAGGTGTTCAAGTAACTGGGTTTAGTCATTGTTTTATCCATCAGTGTAGATGCTTCAAGTCGGTACTAATGACGGCGACCCCTCCATGAGTCCTGGACATGAATCAGCCCATCCCTCCTTATCCATCAGCAGCGGCAAGGGACACGAGAAGAAAGCTGACATACGCGAGGGCACGCAACACCTTCAAAGTGTTTCATATACTACTTTTACCTTCAGTACTCACCGTTTGGAATTTCCATACTAGCTATTTTAGAAGGTGGCGATGAGCCAACAGAATTTTTTGCCACCACACTGATGATGTAGTCATTTTTGTCAAGCTGTATTTCTGCCTTGTGTTGAGGATCAAGAATCTCAGAAAGGGACTGTGTTTCCTCATCTGATGAACATGATACATTATAAGAAAGGATTTTTCCATTAGCTTCATTAATGGATAAAGGCTATGAAAAACAGAAAAATAAATTCTGTTAAAAAATACCTGCAAAAAGTGACATTGTGATGAGGAAAGGCCATTGAGTGCAAATAAACTGGACACTCTACTAGTCCTAACGAGGCATCCTAACAAGAAAAAATGAAGTTGTCGACAGCGCAAAACACAGATGTGAAACCCACTGAGACCTGGATAGATCAGGAAAGTGATGCTGAAGAAAAACTACATTTGTTGTAAGCAGTAAGAGCACACGGAAATATAAAAATTCAGTAACGAAACAACATGGAAACACATTTTTCAGAAGCAAACCAAAAGAAACTGATGAGAAGCATTGCTCTACTTAAAAATAAAATATTAAAAAGTATGACATCATGTTTTTTAAACAGTTGCTGTTTTCTCATTTTAAAGTGGTATCTACCCATTACAGAACATTTGGGAAAAATTCAAAAGTTGGAAAAAAACAAGAAATATCTCCTCTATTTCCATCTCTTAAATATTCTTATATTTTGATATTTCCTTCAAGTTGTTTTTCCAGATGGAGATTTTTTATTAAAATTGTTTTAATTGTACTATACAATTTTATATCTTTTTTCACTTTTCTATAATGTACACTCATCCATGATAATATAGTCATATACACTTTAATGGCTTTATATTTCACAGAGCGTTTTTACCAGTTTACTTGAATATTCCTTAAATAAATGAAATTTAAGTTTTTCCTGATTTTTCACAATACTAAAATAAACCTTTTGGTGCCATATTTTTTTCATGACAAAGATTAATTCTTTAGTATGGGTTCCCAAAAGTAGACTTACTGGAAAGGAAATAAACATTTAAACGTCTTTATTTATATAGCTAAACTGCTTTACAAAACAATTGCTCCAATTTGTACAGCAATGTATGGAACCCTCTGATCTAGGCTGACACTGACATTAACATTCTGCTGAAAACACTGCTCCAACAGAGGTCGCCAATGGCCTTCTGATGCCTGGTCCAGTGGACACATTACCATCCAAAGACCTGCGGGCTTTATTTGATACTGTTCACTCCTTCACATATCCCCCTCTTCCTTGGCTTCTACAATACTACTTTCTTCTGGTCTTTCTGACCCTCTGACCTACCCAATCTCCTCTGTTGGATCCTCCTCTTTCTCTGGTCCTTTATATGCTGCCATCACCTAGGATTCCACCTTGGCCTATTTCTACCCTGCATGCTCCCCACAAGTGATCCCATTTTACATGCTACTCAAAGCTATGCCTTTAGCTCTGACCTCTCCCAAGCTCCAGAGCCTTACATTAAACCACCACCTACTGGACTGTACTTGGATATCTCAGGGGCACATGTTTAAAAAACTCAGCATGTCCAAAACAACTTAATTTTCCACCCAAATATGGCAGAACGATCAACTGGTCACTGAAATTAGAATCCAAATCGCTTCAATATTTTTAATCCTTGCTTAAACATTCATCTAGTTTGAACATTTAAAATTTTCTCTACACTGAAGTAACTTGTATAATCACTACTGTATTATTGTGAAATCTGAGAGACAACTGCGAGTAGCCAGGGGATTTCCTAATCAAGAGGCAGAGGGGATGCACAGTCATATACAGACAAGCTCAAAGCAACAAACGTGTACAGAACTTGCTCAGACTTCACTTTACTCCAAGATATGCTGAGGCTAAATTTTTGAAAAAATAACAGTTTTATTTTCAATAACAAAATTCACTATTTAAAAGAATCCAACTATAACTGCTCCTATGAAATCCAGTGTAGAAAACAACTGTGTTTTTAATGTTCATAAATCAGATAAAAATTACAGTGACAAAAATGTTTGCTCTCGTAAGAAAAAAAAACTAGTAAAACAATGCAATTCATATTTTATCTAAAATTTTACAGAACTATACAAAACTTTATAATTGTCATAATGCAATTTATTTAAGGGAAAAAATTACACATGAATAAACAGTTGGTTTCCTATTCACTGGATGAAAAAAACGCACCATGAACATTTGGGATTCTAACTTGTAGTTTCTGGCTGCATTTCTGACTAAAGGGAGAGAGATGGAATTCACGAACCCCTCAGCCCTTTATAGGCCTTATAAAATCAACTAAAGAATGCTCAGATCTGAGACAGAAGACCCCCACTACAATGACTGTGGTGCATCTGCAGTGATGAGGAATCTGGGGGTTTCAGAAGCCGGGTTACATTCTCAGCAATACTGCAAACTTAGCCAGTCTGGGAAATCCTGGCTCCCTGGTAACCCAAGTACCATATGTGAGTTACTTAACTATTGAAGGAAAAATTAGATATTTACCTTCCAATATATTATTAAATTCTTTCCATCAGAACTCCACTCTCTCCAAGTATCTGGTCCCTTTGAAGGAACTAGGAAAGAGATTTAAAAGTCAGTATTTGAAGATACATACTTTGCCAGGTGATAATATCAATCATTAGGATGGTAGTGTCTGAAATTTTTGTCTAGGTTTTTGGAATTCTCAATAAAAATGTGAAGTAGTCAAGTGGTTTCCACTTAGAAAATGAAGCAATGGAAAAGCTGAGCTCTGAACGGCTGCAAAACACAAGGCCCCTGACAGTGGGTTAAAATCACCCTCAAGGCCCTCCGAGATACGTCAGTGCCTCTAAGTCTCATAACCTCCCACCTCTCTTTACTCAGGTCAGCTCTGGCCACACACTGGCTTCCCGGCTGTTCCTCAAATACGCCAAGGTCACCCGCCCAGGCTTTCTGCACTTTATGGGCCCTCTCTTCCTCTGCCTAGAACTCTCCTCCTCCTCTGAATTAATCATGTAGCTGCCTCCCCACTCCTGTATACTTCAGATCAAGTGCTATCTACCTTATTAGTGAGGTCTTTTCCAGATACCCAGTTTAAAACTGCATTCCCCCTTCCCAACTACCTGGCCTTCATTCCCTAGTCCTCTCTCTGGGTTTTTTTTTTTTTTCTGTGTTACTCACTGCTACCCAATAGACTATTATATATATATTTAAAAAAAACTCATTTCTAATCCTCTATCCTATAAACTCCATGGGCAGAGATTGCTGTTTTATTCATCGCCATATCCCTGGTAACTAGAACAATTCCTGACACATGGTAGATTCTCAGTAACTATTTGTTAAGTGAATTAATGCGTTCATCTTAATGAGGCAAAATAAAATGTTTCCTCTTGGCAACAACAGCTCATCAACTGAAGGCAAAAGCTGCTCTGACAGCCAGTCTCCAAAATGACCAAGATACTGGCCACACCTCCTGATGTTCCTGCCCTTGTGCGGTCCCTTCCACACTGTATCAGGGTTGGCCTGTGTGACCAGCAGCATACGGCAGCTGAGATGTACGTTCCTTCTGAGGCTAGGCTATAAAAGACACTGTGGAGATTGGAGCACTAAGCCTTGGAGTTGCTGGCTGTTCTGCTGAGGACACTTCAGCTGCCCAGTGGGGAAGCCCACATGGTGAGGCGCTGAGGCTTCCTGCCAACAGCCACATGAGTGAACCATCTTGAAAGCCAATCCCCAATCCTCGTCAAGCCTGTAGCCCCCACCCACATTCTGATTATAGCCTCGTAAGAGACTCTAAGCCAGAGCCACTCAGCTAAGCTGCTCCTGAATTTCTGACCAATAGACACTGTGAGATAATAAATGTTTGCTGTTTTAAGCCACTGACTTTTGGGGTAATTTGTCATAGCAATAGATAACTAATACTCTCTCTTCCCTGGACTCAAGCGTGGTCCAAACAATTCTTACAGGTGTTGTAAAGCTCCTCTCATCTCTCTAGTCTTCATGTGGAGAGAAAATCTGGATTAACATCTGTCATTTTTTTGTCCTACTGCTGTTAAATTTTTTGGAAGAAGTTGTATATTCCCTATATTATATAATATAAATAATGCTTTTGCAATCTTTTGTTGAATGCTTCCTGAAAAATTACACCTATTTCTAAATTTTTTGATGTTTGTTTTAAAGCTGACATCTGTTTAATCAAGAATAGATCTCATTCTGTCTTTGGAAATTATCATACTCAGAAAATCCGTTATCTGATTTTATAGATAGTGTGACCTGGGTGTACCACAGAAACTAAAGTTTAAGACCTTGTAGTCCCAACCATTTCTCAGGCCTAGTTTGCAAATAAAATTCCATCAAATTAACCTTATTATTGTTTCCAATAAGGAGGTATTCTAAATATATTATTAAAATTCCAAGAAGAGGAGGAAAGAGTGAGAAAAAATCACCCCATAATCCTTCAAGTTTGGTTTTGTATGTATCCTCTTAATATGGAAGCAATCACACTGTGAATAGAGTAGCCTAGTCTTTTCATGTAACACATGCCAAGCATTTTCCCATATTATAACAAAAAGTTAAAAACCATCATTTAAAATGTCTGTCTATTTAACCAGAAGGTATTACACAATTATACAATTTATCTAAACATTCTCCTACTTTTAGTCACTTTGGTGACATTTTCTTAAAAAAAAAGTCATAAAGTTCAGGATCCATAGTAATAATTAAGCCACAAATCATTTAGTCAACTTACTGGCTTCTGTGGTTAAATACTGTTTTTCATTGCTCCATTTGCTCCATTTCCAGAAAGGTTTAGTAGAACAACGAATCCGAAAAATATATATTGTATATGGATTTAACTTGTCCACAGCAATGAGATAACTTGAATTTTCTACCCCTTTCATTGTGATATTCCTCTATGAGAAAACAAACAAAAATTTAAAACATATTACATACATAATGTATATATGTAATACGTAATATATATTATATAATGTATAGGACATATATGAATACATACACATACACATATACTTTTTTTTAATAAGAAAGTCTCCCAAATTTGTAACAAGTTGACTGAATGTCATGAGCATTTACCTCTGTAAGACTAAAGACAGTTTATCCACTATATTTTAATTCTTATATAAATGTCAAACCAGTGAAATTCCGTTCTGCAATAACAATAAATAAAAGTAAGGTATCTTTTTAATTCAAATGTTGGATCTAAGTAATAATGGTCAATTAAATTATGCAGAAAGGATAACTGTGACAACCAGCCAGCGGCCAGTAGTGATGCAATAAGCTTGGTGTTTGGTACTCAAAGACAACCGTGAGGATTGAGCATATTATTCAGATGACACTTGAAAGCTTACTGGAGGCAGGCATCATCTTCTGCATCTTTTTTTATATGGCACTTAGAAGCTCTAGTGTGGTGCTAAACATGTAGAATATTTAACAAGTACTTAAACTAAATAAAATCAAGATGAAGTATTTCTAAACAAATTTGAGGATCTGCATGCCTCAAGAAAGTCTCTGAGTTCCCAATTACTTATAACTAGGAGCTTTGTACATTTTGCAGTCTGACTGATTTTCTAGAAATCATCAGTAAGTTTCTGAAAGGCTATTTAAGCACAACATCATCTATTTTGGACTTACCACAAGTTACGAGATGGTACAGTATAAAAGTCAGCCTAAGTATTTAAAATGTATTAAAAAGTCATGTTTCGACTTATAATGACCAATTATAACTTGCTCCTATTGCTGCACTTAACAGTTTTAAAAAATCACATTTTCTCTCTGGTGCCGATTAGTCCATTAACTAACGCCAAAGGTTACAGCCAAAACTACTCATTCATTCACAAATTTATTGAGCAACAGTTACATGCCAGGTACTATACTAGACTTGAAAACATTCTGAGTAGTAAAAGTCAAACTTATGTTCCATAATATATAACATTATAATTGTTTTTAAGTGCTAAGTATAATGCTATTACGACATTGCTATATAATGTCTTGGCTCTTAGTAAATTTCTATCATAAATAATCTGAGAGCTTATGTGTGACAATTTACTTAATTCTTCTTAAAAACTAAGTGTTTTATCCAAAGTAACCTCAAAGGAAGTTTATAGAAGAATCTTACTCACCAATTCATGTACTGAGTTAGTTTTATTAATTTCAATTTGACATAACAGCTTAATCTTTGCAAAGCTGCCTGGTAAATGCCAGGAAAGTGTAACAGCTGTTGAATTAATATCCTTCACTTTGACTGAAGTAGGAGTATGGGGATGAACTGTAAATACAATATTCAAAGATTACTTTGAAAGCTGTTTTCTAATATGACAAGTGAGAATCATAGAAAACAAAAAACAGAAGTGTCATTAGTACTGATCAACAATATTCTACCCAGTATTTGTGGAATACACAAAACTCACTGTTACTGCTAACATCATGCCAACTTTTTTTCAGCACCAACCACACTTGAAGTTCCTGAGCTGGCATCATAAATAATAAAACGTGTCATATCATAGTCTCTACCATTAAGGAATCCATAATTTACTTGGAAGAATGACCAACAAAAATAAAGAAAATCAACTGCAGTGTATACATTAGGTCCTAAATATGTAGTACAGATACTAGCTGCTACAGGAATTTAGATGTTAAGTGTGGCAGGGAAAGTCTTACAGCAAAGATGGGAATGAAGATGAGCTTTGAAGGCTAGAATTAGACTGAAATTGGCAAAATGATGCAGAAGAGCATTTCAGGTTGGGGTCTTGGCAAAAGCACAGTGAAAGCAAACTGCACATTACACTGGTGATGGTGCGCATAGCAATGTGAGTGATGGGAAAGAATCATGTGGAAGATAAGGGTGAAATGGCAGAGGGCAGACAAATACACGCAAACACTGCCACTCAAGTATAAAATGCAGCTGTTTTAGGAAAAATTAAGAAACAAGAGATGATAGGATGGAATAATTGATGAAAGTGATCCATGTGTACAAAACAAAAAGGCAACAGGAGCATCTACCAGTCACGTGCGAGGCTGTGCTATAATGCATCCAGTTTAAGCCCTTTCTCCCCGACTGTGAGTCTCTAGGAGAAGGCCTCTACTCCACTGCTGTGCATGTTGCAGAGCCTGGCAAGGAGTTGATACCCATGCAATGACCATGGGAATGAATGCCAAAAAGATGGGCCATATTTTACTTCTATTTTGAGCTATATATTAATAGGGTTGGTAAAAATTCAGAAATGAGCAGCAGCAAAAAGGAACAAACTATTTATTGCTACATACAACAGCTTGGATGGATCTCAAGGACACCATGCTTAGTAAAAATGCCAACCTCCAGAGGTTATACAGTGTTTGACTCCATTCATACAATATTCTCAAAATGACAAAATAACAGAGACAAAGAACAGATTAGCTGTCGTCCAGGGACAGGGATTTGAGTGCCTGGGGGAAGGGGAGAGGGGTGTGCTTTGCTGAAGTGAAAGCAGGAGGCGGTCCCTTTGGGGCAACAGAACAGTTTTGGATCTTGATTGTACTGGTTGTTTCATGAATCTATACATGGATCCAACTGCACAGAACTACACACACACAGTTAAGTGCATGTAAAAACTGGCAAAAACTGAGCAAGGTTAGTGGTCTCGTTCAGTAGCCTGGTTCACAGTGTTGTACCAGTCAACTGCTTAGTCTGATGTTGTACTACAGTTACATAAGATGTTACTATTGGGAAAGTCGGGTAAAGGGGTCACAGGGCTCTAATTTATTATTTTTTCAACTACTTGTGAGTCTAAATTATTTCAAAATAAAAAAGTTTTTAAAAATTGGGCAAAAAATATTTTGAGAAATCAAAAACTATTAGATAAAGACACAGTTTCTGTGGAAACAATTCAAATTTTTATTTGTTCAATAAAACAGTGACTTGAAATTACAAATTTTAAATATTTTTCAATAAAATTTACAAAATTAATATTAAGTAACTATAAAGAAAATCATCAGCAAAAAGTAATCCCTAGAGGCACTTTTCATTACTCTTAAGACATTTTACCACCTCTAAAGTTATTTTTAAGACATTGGTTTATGCAGTAGCTTACCTTTTTCAGTTACATTAACTAAAAGTGTTGATTCTGATTGACCCAAGGGATTACGAGCATTCAATGTAAAATTGTATATTTCTTGATTTGAAAGCATTTGAAAGAATAACTGATAGCTTTCATTTGTGGGCACTTCAGCTCTTTTATATCTAACACATTTTCCTGAAAAACTGTGAATTAAGAGAGCATTAAGGAATGTTAAAATAATTTCAAAATGGCAAGAGATATATTGCAGGAAAAAATGAATTGGTAAATTTCTAATAATTACTCTTTAAAAAAGTTTCCATTTCTAATTATAGATATATCACATACTCAGGGAAGAAAATATAAACAATACAGAAAATAGAAGAAAATAATCAGACATAAACCCATGACCCAGAAATAGTCTCTGTTCATATTTGAGGTCTTTTCCTTCTAGGTTTTTTCAAAAACAAGGTATCAAGTCTATATGCATTTAAATTGCAGCATTTATAGCATATCCAATTCTATACAGCACATTTTGTTTTATATCTTGCTTATAATACAAATGAAACAGACCATCTCCCCATGTCATATAACATCCTTCCAATGCACTCCTCACTGTCTGACAACCTTTGCCAGAGACCTTTACCTTTCACATAAAGTGTAACTTGTATTGCGTGGGCCCACCAGGGATGTCGGTCTTCCTGGATTCCAAGTGCATACTATCTCTTTTAAATCATATGTCTCACAGTTCAATTTTTGAGGAATATCAGGTGGATCTAATTTAAAAAAGAGAAAAAATTCAGTTACTTATGATTACATATATTTTCCCTGAAAATGATATATTTCATAAATGTCAATCACGTTTTAGACAATTTCCTTAAAAAACAAAATGTTTTCATTTTGAACAATGCAGGAATTATCATTCTTTATATAGCATGTTATAGCAGAGTTCATGTTACATTAGAAATGACAGATTAAAATATACTGAAGAGTGACTAATAGCTCATCTGGAAACTCCCCAATGGCAACCTGAAGAGATGACCTTTCATTTTCTTCCCCCTTAAGTCATATTTCAGAGTTCATCAAATATCTCGAAGGAACCTATGTCCAACTAGTTCAATCAGAAAAATCTACAGGTTATAAGTACTATTACCTATCATCCTTAGATTGTGATTTGAAAAGAAGTACCAAGTCATATTGTAAGTCATGTTACAAGTTTCAGAGTTCTTAAATAAGTTATAAGGACTATTATTTACAAAGTACCTATTGGTAAAATTGTGCATCTCCCTATATTCAAAGTGACTACTGCTCTTTTGTTCTTATTCTTTATTGAAACTGTTCTGTTTTTGTAGGAGCAAGACTAGAAAAAGAAAAGTTGTTTTTGTTTTGTGAGACCTTAAAGTGATAAATGAAAATTCTACAGTCTGATTATAGAAAGTGGTACTTCTGTAATCTTGTTTAACAACCAAGCATATAAGAAATGATGTTTCCTACTGTCATGTTTGTCCAAACTATCTTTCACTGAAGGTAGATCTTTGTTAAATAATTATCAACTCATTGAAAAAGTCTGTAAGATAATTTTATTTTTAAAAACCTGTATTTTTAAAATAGTCCTGAGTTCATCAGACAAGACTTAGAAAATTTCATATACTTTTCCCAGAGATAATCATTATAACCTTCCAGGTAACTTAGGAAACATTAAGTGAAGTAATGAGCATTTATATGAAAGTTTAACAATTGGATAATAAAAACAACACTGACATTTATTTTGAAAAGTATTTTAAACTTAAGGCCAAACTTTTAGTCATTTTATTAAAATCAAATACCTAAAATTTTGAGGATTTTTTAAAATGCTGATTATTTTAGGATTTGGCAGATAAGCTGAAAAACTTAAAATCCAAATAACAGGAGCAAATTAGAAAGAAGTGGAAGGAAAAACTGAAGAAGAAAAAAATATGAGAGGGCAATATTTAAAATGCAATGTACTGCTTTTGTTTTCAAAGAAATTAAGTTACAAAAGAGTTAACTGAAGCTAGGTAAAAGCTTGGTATAAATCAATTATATTTCTGCTACAGCAGCAAATAGACAGTACAACTTAAAAACATCTATTTTTAATAGCACCAGAAAACACCAAATACCTAGGGAAAAATATACCAAAAGATAAATAAGACCTCGTATCACTCAAGTAAAGCAAAGATAATCTAAATAAATGGAAGGACATACCATGTTCATGGTTTAAAAGACTCAATATTGTGAGAATAAAAATTCTCCTAAATTGAGAGATTTAATGTAATACCAATCAAAGACCTGGCAGGTTTGAATGTGCATGTGTGTGTGTAGGAAAAACCTGAAGTTGATTCCAAAACTCTTTTCAGTCTTTTCAGTAAATGGTGTGTTAATAGTATACCCATATGGGAAAGAAAAATGAATCTTGATCCCTAACTCACACTACAGCCTGCCGCTTCTGTAAGTTTCTAAAGCGCTCCCTCTGAAGTGAAATGCTACTGCTGCGCTTCTGAACTGACAGATATTAATCAGTATTTCAACCTCCAAATGTTATAAATGAAAGCTAAATTATGAATTAAATAGCTTTGCTCTAGCACTATGATAAAAGATTAGAACATTGTTAGAAATAATAAAAAGAATCAATATTCTCATCTTCTAAGTTTAAATTTTTCATTTCATTCTTTTAAGTGAATGTCTCCCTTTTTGGTATCATTTATCAAGAACCTTCACTACACTGATTCTCAATTTAGACTCCAAGATCATTTGTGAGGAATGTTGCAAGTCAACTCCTCAAATTCCATTTAGGGAAGAAAACATAATTTTTTTGATTTCTAAAGTTTAAATTTGAATATATCCTCACTCTCACTCGAATTCCAAAATGCCTTACTGGGAAGACAAAAAGAGAGTAAGGATACAGCCAGCAAGCTAAGTGCAACTCATCCTGGTTACTCCCTCGGGAATCTACCAGCAGCTGAATGTCATTCATAAGTTCTATGAAAGTAAAAGAGGGACTGAGAGCCGCAGATCTAGAACACAGCTGAGAAGCATAAAAAAAGCATAAGAAAAATCACTTGGCAATCAAAAGAAAGTTACAAAATCCACTTACATTTCATACATTTCATTCAAGAGACTCTTGGACCAAACTCAGAAGCTTTAAAATCAGAATGTATGGAGGAGGGGAAGCACTGCAGGAAGTAAAGCCACCAGTGCACAGTAACATTATAGTGACCACAGGAAGGAGACAGAAAAACTCCAAATACAAAATTATCTGTGGATGCTCAATACAAGCTATATAGGTAGGGCAGTCCACCAACCATAGCAACTTTTGGAAATGTCATGGAATGTTAGAACTGTAGGAGTGGCCATGTTACTAAAGATGCCCTGCATTACACAGGACACAGCATACACGGACCACAGTGAGAAAGGGGTTCTTCCTTCTACCCACGTCCTCCAGTCACCCTCTTCTCATCAGAGAAGCATATATATGCTATTGAGAGATTTTTGTCCGGGGGAGGGGTATAGTCAGTGGTAGAGTGTATGCTTAGTAAGCACAAGGTCCTGGGTTTTGCCAACTAAAAATTGGCACTTGCCACCTGCCTCTACAAGGATTGAATCACCCTGGCACTTGCCATCTACCTCTGCTAGGACTGAATCACGAGCTGCTGCAGCCACTGACCTCCAAGACTCTCTGAAACAAGTTCAGGGTGGAGATCAGGAATGAGGCACTCTGTGCTCTGGGAAAACTGGCAGAACAGGCCTTCATATAGTTAGCTATTTTCAGGAAAAGATTTTATGAGCCCAAATTCTTGAGTCTCCTTCTATCTAGAAAAGCGCTAAAGTTATTAACAGTGACATCTGCTCTTTGTGACTAGCAGCAGCCTCTGCCTAAATGTGTGCTTGACTGCATGCGCCCCCCTTCACTGAAGTCATATATGATTCTGAGTTTTCCCCACAGCTCTTCAGAACAATTCCTCAGAGCTATCTGAGATGCTGTCTCCCAGGCTATAGTCCTCAGTTTGCTCCAAAGGAAACTTAACCCACAACTCTCACATCGTGTGAGTTTAATCCTCAGTACCTCCACTAAAAAAAAGAAAAGACAGAGAGAGGAGGGTAAAGCTCACTGGTAGAGTGCATGCCTAGCATGCACAAGGTCCCAGGTTCAATTTTAAACCTCTGTTTAAAAAAATAAACAAACTTAAAATTACCTCCCCCCCATTTAAAAAAAATTCCCTTTTGAAGAAAAATATTTTGAAAGGAAACAAAAAAAGAAAAAAAATTTTAAAAGAAAGATTTTGTGTAAAATCATTATAATTTCTTTAATGCAGGTACTGGAGAAAAGGTATACTTTAATTAGGTGGGAAATTAATTTACATGAAAAAATTCCTAAACAATGTAGGATTAAGAAGTCTTACATATACTAACTTGCCCTTGACTCAACAAAGCTGTTAACTAAGAACTTATGTAAAAAATTAGCAGTTGAATGTTTCAAATATTATAAAATCTACAAATTATATAGATACAGGTATGTAGAAAACAAGCTTAGAACTCATCTTAAAAGAAACAAAACTTCTGGTGCCTTCATATATCATTTATATTAAAGAATAAAAAAAATAGAATCAATTCATACCCCAGAAAAAGCACTAAGGCTTTTAAGGAGGATCAAAACAGATTAATAGGAACTTTTTAAAAAAACATTATATACTTACATCCTGCAAAAATAACCGTTCCAAACATGTTATCTTCTACTGAGAAAACCACATTTGTTCCACTACTTTCAGAAGCAGAAATATTATGGATCTTGATTGCAACATTTTCCCCATCAAGATGAATAAGGGGACAATTTGTACTCCCAATCAGTGCTAACAACACTTTTTCTTGAGTCACACAACAAACTGTTATATCCGAGCCTACAAGTATCACTTTGTCTTGAGGAAAAACCTTAGTTTGAGAATCAGAAGACCCTAGAAAGAGCAAAAGGAATTTTAAATACTTTAGAAGTCTTTGACATAAATTAGCCCAGTGCACATAAAGCATACTGTTACATACTTTATAACATTGGTGGGTTATGTCCCTCAGGTTTCAAAGGAGCAAGACATGTATGAGAAATAAAAGTGTGTGGTTTTATTTACTTATGATGGGGTGATGGGGGTTGAGTGGAGGGGGCTGTAAATCAATGTTCAGGGTCCCAGTTAATATCTAAGAAGTCTAAAGTTTCAAATTAAGTGGGTTTATGTCCACATGTGAAAAACCCATGTCAAGAAAAAGTCGCTCTTAAATAATTCCATTCCTTTGAAGTTATTCTATGTATTTAGAGCAGACTTCTTCCCATCTGCCTAACTATATAGTTAAGTACTCCAATTCTTAAAAAGCACTTTTTCTTTAATCCCAGCTCACTGCAGGTTAAAGCCACATCTTTGTTTTTATCTTCCTAAATAGCTAATTAAAAAAATTATCTCCTGTCTCCTTTCTATCTACTTACTCTTTAACCTGCTTCTACCCACACCCGTTCTACTAAAATGGCTCACTGGCATAACTGTTCAATCCAATAGCCACTTCTCAGCAATCTTTCCTTCGACTTCCCCAGCATCCGGTATGTTGCCTAAAGTCTGCCTTCTCAAAATTCCCTTTTCTCTTGGCTTGCAGACCACTATACTCTGCTTAATCCTCTGGCTGCTACTTGCTTTGCTGGCTTCTTTTTCTCCCATCCTTCCCTCGGACATACAAATTTCTAATGGATGTGTCCTCGGTCTCCATGTCCCTTTTCCTGAGTTATGTTAACCTCCAAGATTTAAAAAATTTCCCATCACATATTTTAACGATTCTCAAATACATAGTTGACCCTTGGACAACACACGTTTGAACTGCATGGGTTCACTTACACGTGGATTTTTTTTCAATAGTAAATACTACAGTACTACATGATCTGTGGTTGGTTGAATCTCTGGATGCGGAACCACAGATATGGAGGATTCATGGGTTCGGGGGGCTGACTATAAATCATATGTGGATTTTCCACTATGCAGAGAATCTGCACCCCTAACCTCTGGTTGTTCAAGGGTCAACTGTGTATCTTCTGCTCCAGCTCACTACCTGGATGCCAGACTTGTATTCCCAACTGACAAAGAGACACTGCTCCCCAGACACTTCATAGCTACCTCAAGCTCAACACATTAAAAATGAAATTTATCTGTCCCACCTAGTTTGATCATATAGTTGGTATCTCATTGGACAACAATCACCAGCTACTCAGCTGTCCAAACTAACAGCCATGTTCGGCTCCATTTCTCCCCTACTAAATGCACTGTCACCAATTCTAACTCTGTCTCTTCAGTGTTTTCATATCTCTTCTCCCTTTTCATTTCTATACCCAAGTGTCCTAGTCTAGTTTACACGCTGAACTACAACAAGATTCTCCTTATTAATCTGCCTCTTTCCATTCCTTTCTCCCTCTGATCTACTTCCCTGTACTGTCACTAGAGTAAATAACCTACAATGAGTAGCAGCCTTTTTAAGGACTTCATTTTACTGTCAACAATTTTCCAGGCCCTCTCTCACTCTGCTGACATTCTTCCTGCATGTGAGTTTTATTCAACGTACAGATGTTTTGGTATACTTGCAGATTCCCATGCTCTCTGCAATAGCTCTGCAGCTTGCAGGGATCTGCTCTGTGAAGAAACTGAGAGCCATTTTTTCTTTAATATGGACTTGATCTCATTACCATATAATTTTTTAATGTTCTTCAATGACTACCACAGTGATTTTCAAACCTTGGTGTTTATCCAATCACTCAGGAAGTTCTTTAAACATACGGACTCCTGAAGCCTATCTCAGAGTTTCTGATCAAACTGTTCTGGGATGGAGACGTGGAAGATCCCCAGGTGACCCTCATGCAGCCAAATGGGGCTCAGAGAACTGAAAGCATCAACTAACCCTACACTTAAGCAAGACTAATCTAATTCATCTGAAACAAAAACTCTTTAAATATGAGCTTACAAGAAATGTTCTTCAGTAGGCTCCAGTTACTCCACTCTTTGTGACCAGAGAACTTAGGGTCATCGATGTAGCACCTAATTCCCACATAGTGAGTGGCACACTCCAAGGGCATGTCCGACGTCCAGCTCCAGTGATGAACTGTGTCTTTGCCATTCAGAGTTGTGTTGTGGGTCATCTACAAAATGAACACAAACACAAAATTCTATTCCCAAGTAGTGATATGGTCTGCTTTTTTTTTAGGGTTAAAAAATACAACAGACTGTGTACAATCACCACCTAAGGAAGGTAAAGGTTTGTTCTTTTGCAAAACTATCTCCATTACGGATTTATAAAACTGTAACACAAACAACAAATACTTGTCTACCAAAAATTGCAACAGAATGATACTGGAAAAAATTGTAAGTGAAGAGAGAGAGAGAGAGAGATTGAGACAGAGAGGGAGGGCACACACAAGTGCACAAGCATGTGAGTGGGTGTGCCTGGGCTGGGAGGTTCGACAGGACTAAATCCTCATCTTCTGTTGTGGGAGGTTAACAAAACACTGATCAAAACTAAAAGAGAAAATTAAGGAAGAGCAACATAAACATTGCTATCTGGAAAAATGGAGACAAATAACAAAAGAATTAGCTAAAATAACTGAAATTTGTTGTTTACAGGAGAGAAAAATGCGAGGAGAGAAAGGTTGCTGCGTAACTCCCAGGGGTCGTTCACATCCTGGTCTGTGCAGTGCACAGCTCCCACAGCTGGACGCGAGGCTGCAGGCAGAGACTGTCAAATTATAAATGAAACATTCATCCACAGTGTTTCACAATCTTTAAACTATTACAAAATAATAGCATTATAAGCTGTCATAAAATGATTATATGCAATTCTGCCTTAAAAAACTAATACTATAGCTATAACAAAGCTATAATAAAAATGGCACGTTTTACTATGGACAGGAATAACTTTTCTAAGATCAAATTGTTCTATCTCTATTTTTCTTACTCCTTATTATTTTTCCCTATACAAAGAATTTTCTTCAAAGATCATGTTCCCAAAAGTAGGGAATTACTACTTTGCCATTGCTGTCTTCTTATGCATCTTGTGGCAATGACTTACATGACCTTAGAATAATTTGATTTCACTTATACTTCAAGGAGTAACCCTCTTATTCTAGCATCCATACGTTAGTTTTAAAAAAAAGCCCATCTAGCCCCCAAAGGAAGTAATGACAACTAATAGCTGTTTAGTAGCTTTATAAGTATCGTATCGTGTATTACAGAAATACTAGCACTACTTTACAAATAAGTAAAAGAAAATTTAGGGAAGTCATCCTAAGCCAGTGAGCAGTAATCCATAATATAAAATATCAGGACATAATAAAAAGCTACACAATAAAATTTTAAATAAATAATAGTTTTTAAGACAACAATGATAGAGCTGTAGCAAAGCTAACTGCGAATCAGACTGACACACAGAATTACCATTAAAATTCTAGAAAAAGGAGAGCATTTTAGACTGAGGTAACTGGAATGAGCTTTAAAATAAGGGGCAGGATTACACCTGGGGCTGGAGATGTGTATTCAGTTTGGATAGGTGAAAAGGAACAGGAGGGCGTCTTGGATGAAAATAAGTGCACTGATGATGTAATACAAATCACAGTGGTTAAGAAAGAGCACAGACTCTGGAATCAACTGCCTGGGTTTGAGTCCTGGTTCCACCACTTACTGTCTTCCTATGACTCTGTATCTTCATCTGTAAAACGGGGATGATGTTAATAGTGCCTCCTTTGTGGGCTAGTTGTGAAGATGCACACTATTAACACATAAAGAGTTTTTACAACAGTGCCAGGAACGCCGGGAGCATCAGACACGTGATTTACGGCTATTGTTATTTTAGGACAACAAGGAAAAATTAGGCAGTAACAATGAAATACAGAATAATCCTATTTATTATCTTTAATATCTTACCTATGTGCTTAGGCAAGTAAACTGTAAAATCATGAGCTGGTTGTCTAATTCTTAAGGCTCTCACTAGGCATATGTCAAGTTCACTAAGGAAGAAAAGAGTAAAAGGACAGACAGGAGGACTCCCAGTACTAGCTGTCAACACCTCTCACCACAATCTCTCACTATTCCTTACATTAAGAACAAAATAAAGACAGATCATGAGCAAAGCACTCATAAACATGATTTTAAAAAGCAGAGGGGAAAAGGCAGGTACTACTAAATACAAGAACATTATTTCAGATTCAGATAAATTCAAACTTACAGAGTTACACAAAATTTCTCAACGATCACTATGGCTAAATATGTTAAAACTTTCATTTTTATGTTTATCATGAAAGAAAAAGATAGCAATAACAGACTCAATTAGATTTTATTTCACTTATGTAAAAACATGTGTATAAAAAGGCTAGACAGGAACACACAAAGATAATGTTTACTATGTCCAGGTGGTAGAATCATGGATTATTACGGATTATTCCTATCATGGATTATTTCTCCCTTAATTTCCTAAACTTCTCATAATAGTTTCATGTTATTTTAATGACTAAGTGATGGTTTTAGTCAGAGCATATAGTTTCTAATGAATCTTGTAAGGAATGTGATCTACTTCCTTAATAACCTAAAGGTTCACTCATGCCACCTTAAAATCTTTAAAAATTATTGTATCTTTAATGTCACAGGAAAAAAAAATCGATTGTTATTCAAACTTACTATTTTTACAATTTCCATATTTTTTTTACGTAGAATTTTAATTTCCCAGATGACATTTGAGTGACGTGGAAAAACAGAACCCTTGTCATTCCACTTGAGGTGTAATGTAGACGTTGAGAAATCAGCAGACAAATTCAAGATCTCTGGAGTGTCTGGAATGAAGGCTTAAAAAAAGGAAACAGAAGACAAAACTCAGTAAAGTAAGGAATGGTTCTTTATATTGTAATTCCATTAATCAACTAATTTTAAAGTCTGTTCCTTCTTGATCAAAAAAAATTAAGAATTAAAGGAAATCCTCACACTTATTACTGAAAAAAGAGAATAAATAATATGTATTTATTTGTATAAGCAGCTCCCAGTAATTCATCAGCCACATCTGAGAAAACTATTTATCAGCCAGCTGTTTCAAATCCATAATACGTCTTCTGATACAAACAGCAACTGGGTTCCCACAATGCTCGAGTGTCACTGGGTCTGAAAGCTCCAAGCAGACAATGTGGGAGAGAAGGGAAAGGGTTTCCTTTGCATGAACTATGGAAACTATTCCTTGATAAAGCTTTCCATCTGTGTTCTCTGCACTCTTTCCACTCATCTCCAAGTGTTAGAGCTCCCCATGCTGGGGGAAGTCACCGACTGGAGGATGCAATGAGCTATTACTGGTACAAGAACTCCAATAGTAGCAAGACGGGGTAATGACCAAAGCACAGACTCGAGGAAGCCGAGGTACCCAAAAGGGCACTGTGTAGATAAAAGTAGTACTTAGCAGGATCTAGGGAGTCCTTCAGAGAGCCTAGTCTGCAGTGGTGGGCAACAGGCCTGCAGGGGATTGAGGAAGACAAACGGTGACCCAGCAGAAGACAGCTGGAGAAAGCCGGGTGACAGTAATGAGGATGTGGATCACGATGTCCTATGTGGAGAAAAAAGGACAAAATCAAAGAAATGACTGGATCAAAGAGATGATGGGTGAGTACAACAATAAATGAAAACATCTAAGATTTCCTCAAGTTTCTAGCCCAGAGAGTAGGAAGAAAGGCAAAAGGAATCAGGGACCATTGTGAAAAGATATGGGAAACTGGCCGTGGACGACCATGTTTCAGGGGAAGAAGAGCTGACCAGTGCGGGGTCGGGGGTGGGGTGGGGCACAGACAGTGAGTGAGAACAGGGACCAGTCAGAGCCTGGACACCACCTCAAGATTGGAACTCACTGAGCACAGCTCAAGAAATGAGCATAAGCCACAGACAGAACAGACGAAGCTTGTTTGAGAGCTACCGACACAGTCACACCTCCTAGGAACCAGAGAAAACCCAGGATTCCTGGGATCAAAAGAAACGGGGAGTCGTGCAGGCCAAAGAAAACAGCAGTCAGAGAGGAAGGCTGAAAGAGGACCCCGGGCAGGGGTGAGGGTACCATCAACACCTGAGAAAGAGGGCTATCCGGGCAGCCGGCTCAGAAGCTGTGTGACAAAAGGAAAAGTGGGAAACCCTGCTCAGGGACACGGCCTCTCACAGGGATAAACTGGTCAACAAACAAACGAACAAAAGTAGCATAAAGAGCAAGGGAGTCTCCAAAATCTTTAAGTCTCCCTACCTATAAAGGATGGGTAAATTATTGCAAAATGTGGGGTTCAGTGGAAAACAAACAAGGCATGAGTCTGTTCTGTTCTGTGAAACTCAGGCTTTCTAGTGTGAAGGGCTCTTTCTTGCCTGTTCTCTCCTCAAATGACAGTAAAGTGCAGGTAAGTGAAAAGAAATTCAGAGACACAGGCTCTCAGGTCCCACATCCACCCCAGTGTTTCCCTGGGAAGCTCAAGGACCTCTAGGTAAAGTCACGGCCAGCACAACTGTGCGAGCTGACCGAGGTAGGGGCCGAATGTGCCAGGTAACAAAAGTGGCGGAGCAGGCCAATATAAACTAGTCTTGGAACTTTCAGCTATGTAAGTTTAAAAACCTAAAGCTCTAATCTGTTCTTAGAAACAACAATCAGTACTTACATGTAAACTAAAAAAAGAAAAAAAATGTGCAGTATATTGTGTATATGTATTTACATGCAACAGAATGTATATGGGCAGTCAAACTGTAATAATTCTACCTAATAAAACTGAAAAAGGAAAAAAAGAGAAGAAAAAATATCAATCAACCAACCAGTCAGTCAGTCAGTCAGTCGATCTTGGAACTTAAAAAATTAGTACTTAGTAAACTTCACTAAAATTTGCTGACCACAGTGCTCTACACTGGATTTACATAAAACATTCAGGGCTGCACAGGAAATGGAACATGTGGATTTAAAGCCTAAACTAAGCAGCAAGGTCAACAGATACACAGCTAAATAAGGACAGTGGAGGATGCTTTATGGGAGAAGTTTAAGTGGGAAGCTGCTTTCAAAAAAGGAGAAGCAAACGAGGAGCAACAAGCTGATTCAGTGCCAGGAGGGGCAAGTTCAAGGTGGTAGGGCAACCACACAGAGCTGAGGCTGCCAAGAACACAGTTCCTTCAAATGTTTCAAGATGTCACAATGTAGTAACTTAAAATTATGAAACATGAGAATATTTTGTTAAGGAAACACTCACCTATTAAACTGCTTCCCTCCCGGAAAAGGACAAGCCATTTACATTTTATCTAAATAGCAGTGGGCTACTCCTCAAAGCCCAAGTCATAGCCAGTATTTCAAGCTGAAGTCAGTAACAACCACAATCACAAATGAAAAGGTGAAACGCAAACACGCTTTCTTCATAGTACACTTTTTCATCGTATACCTGGGAAGTTCCCCTAAGCTCCCACTGTCATGTGCATTTCTCTCCAGCTAAAAGACGCTTGAGGACAATGTTAACTTGCATTCTAGAAACTTTTCAGCTAGAAAAAAATTTCATCAGTCTTATTTATCTTTTAAAGCTGCTACGTCTTTACCCACAACCTCCGTGCCCTTTGCGTCTTACATCGGGAGACAGGTGCTTTCCCAGCTCTTTTATAGGATCCAAGTTATTTATTCTGCCTCAGACAAATCCAAAATTTTAGGTTGTTTTAAGAAACTCAGAGATTAAAAATCTTACAAAGACTGATTTTTGTGCTTGCCCTTGTCAATTAGAAGCTTATTAAATGACGTGTGTTAAATATCTTGTTTGCTTTATACGTATACTTTTTAAAGCATCTTAAGATCTGGAGAAAACTTAATTTCTCACACTTTCATTTAGTAGAAAGTTGCAAAAGAGCCCAAATCTTTTCATGCACAGCTCCACTATCATTTCACAGCCTCTCTTGCACATGGTAGGTGCTCAAAGGCTTTCCGATGCATCCACCTCCCCCTCTTCTATTCATCTAATTTGCTTTTCAATTTTCTTTTTTTTTCTCTGTGGGTAGATAAGCTTTATTGTTTTTATAATTAAGGACAAACAATGATAATAATTATAGTAATGATAGATAACAACAATAATGGTCATTTTTATTAAGACAAATCTCTGGATTTCTCATTTTGCTGAAGTCAACCTTGTGAATCTCAATTACAGTTCACAATGCTTTTCAATTTTCTTATCAGTATTATCTTATCAGAGAAGCAGCAGAAATAACTTAGCATTGAGATACTGTTAATCTAATATTCTAATCACAATCAGGCCCATTATTATCAAAAATGCTGTCAACAACTTGTATGATATGCAAAAACAATGATCTATTAATTAAGTAAGTCACCTAGAGTCTGTCTGGATTTGCCTTTCTAATTCTAAAACTGTTATTCCAAGTAGCTTCCCAGACAGAAACTTCTCAATCTCTACTGAAAAAGCAGACAACACAAACTGGCTCTCTGACATGAGTCCTGGGGAATTCTGTAAAAATCTGGAATAAAACTAAGTTAGATTCTTCATACCTTAATATAAAGTAATTCCAGATGGATGAAAGATTTAAATCAAGCATGATAATAAAACCAAAAACTCATAAAGAAAAATAGCAAAAGTTTCCATTATATAAAAATAAAAACCTGAGGTGTGAAAAACAGCACAAAGCTAAAATTTTTAACTTGGCAAAATATTTGTAGCAAATATGACAGAATGAATAGCCGTACTATATACAGCGATCTCTTACAAACTGATGAGGAAAAAGATAAATTTCAACACAAGAGAAAATCTACAAAGGATACAAACAGTTCAGAAAAGAACGAAAATGACTGGTAAGTTTTTAAAAAGTAATCACAAAAAAATAAAAACAATAGTGCCATAATTTGGAGGCCATCAGATTGAAATGGCAAAATTAAGAGAGATGAACAAACCCAGTCCTGGCAAGGATGTGGACAGGCATGCACACTCTAACACGATGTTTGTGGGAATGCAGAGAAATTCAGAATTTTTGGATAACAATTCACAATGAAAATATCAAGAGTCATAAAAAGGGGATGTCCTGCATGCAGCATCACCAATTCTAGAAATTTAGCCTAAGGAAGTCATCACAAATTCAGAAACACATACATGCAAATGATGTTCATTAAGGATTGGTTATAATATTGAAACACTAGAAATTAAAACCTCATTATTAATAATCAATGACTTAATCATGGTACCTCCATTCGATGGAACACCATGCAGTCTGTAAAAATCATACAGATTTATTTACATAACAACTTGAAAATTTACATCTTCTGTGAAGTCTATTATAAAGTAATGTGAACTTTACTATTTATATGTACAGACACAGAACATACATGTAAGTATTGACAGAATTTCTCCATGAGTACTGGGATCATGGCTGATCTGCACAAAACAATCTCACATGGAAGGAACAGGAAGAAAATAACAAACATGGCTCTTCTCTCTCTAGCCTGAAAACAGCCCTAAGTAGCACTTTCCTCAGACAATACCTCAGCCAGAAAATGAGACAGGTTCTAAGTTCCTGGACAGCATGCTTTGTTATTATCTTTTCAAAATCTGTGCTATCTTAGACACACACCACTCCAAATACGCACTCTGTCTGTAAAACTGGACAGATCACAAAGTTATTTATATTTTCTTTCCTTTGCGTCAAAGTCAGTCATCCTTGTAAGACTCACTGTAATATCATTATGAAGCCATCTCATGATAGTTGTCAGAAGGCAACCAACCTGCTTATTCCACCATTAAGAGAGTCAAAACCACTGAGGTTTTTAAGGTCCCTCTGTGCAGCAAAATTTCCATCTCCGTCAGCCTGGGTTTATTTTGTGCCTCCACCCAGCCTGTAGCATATGTCCTAGGCAATCGGTCAACATGTAAGGCACTGGGCTAGACACTAGGTGGAGAAGACAACGTCTCTGCCCTCAGGGAACCCATTTGCTTGTGGGGGAAACATACAGGAAGCACTTAATTACATAATAAATTATTTATGCAATTGTAAGAAATGCCACAAAAAAGAAATACACAGCCTACAGCAATGTTAAGAAAAGAATGGGGCGAGATGGTCAAAGACTATTTCTTAGGGACGCCTGAGGAATTCTGGAAGGCGTGCAGGAATCAACAAAGTAGAAGGGTAGGAAGAAAGTATCCGACTGTGGGAAGGACCGTCACCTCTGTGACATCGACTTGATTGACCAGAGAAAGAGCCTGCTTCCATCTTGATCCTGGCTACACTCCACTGTCTGAAGCATGGTCGCTGGGTAAATGAGAGCCATTGGTGTAAGAGCAGATGGAAAAAGGATGGTGCATTTCTGTCAATTATAAAGCACCACAGTACTAACAAAGGCACCGTTCTGAGTTATTTTCAGATCAATTTTTTTTTCAAATACTTACAAACATCTTTTTCATTTAGTGTGAATTTACTTATCGAACTTCCAAAATTTATTGTTACTTCATGATCACCAGGTGAAAGAGCTGGGATTTTAGTATTTTTCTCCAATCGATAACAAGAATGCAACCTGCAATATAAGAAATCAAATTTTAATTAGCAGATAAAATTGAGTGCAATTTCATAAAAACTTGATTAACACAAAATACACTGGAAAATAAGCTCTTTTGTATACAGAAACATAACAGGTTACACTGCATTTTAAGACTGAAAAAAAGAGAGGCTGGCAGTTAAGTCCATCAACGTGGTGGTAGGAAAAATAACCGGACTGTACCAGGACGTCAAGTGAGTAAGCAGAGATGGTTCTCTCAAGAAACAGGATTTCAGCCCGTGTTCAAACTCCCACCCAACCTTTCCTCTGCAGCCTCGCGTCTCACCTTACATACCCTGCACTTCTGGACCAGACCATCACAAGGTCTCTCACCCTGAGACGGTGCTCACAGAGTTTGACGGTAGAAAGGAACCCGGCCACTCATTGTCCCCAGACATGCCCTCAGCTTGGCTGCTCCTTTGTCCTGGTTCACGGTTCACTCGTACAAAACACTCTCAACAGCTCTGCTTTCAAAACGCTTCTAGTTCCCACCTACTGCCTCTCAGACAAAAGTGATTCTTTCCTCTGTGGTGCCATGGCCCTTGGCATCTTTACAGGGCACGTTTATGTGTGCTTTCCTGTTGTTCAGGTGCATTTCTAGCTTCCCACCTGCCATGCCCCAGTCCTGCACAGGCCTCTCCACGGTGCTCACTCAGGACTGAGGACCTGGAAGGGTCAGCTTGCTTCCTTTCAACCTCACCTGTGAGGCTTCTTTACCTGCCAGCAACACAAAACCACCTGAATTCTCTAAATCACGCTCTTTCATACATCTGTGCCATTGTCCCAGTACTCTTTCAGGCTGGAATGGTTTTCTGTTCTTTTTCTGCTGAGAAAACTGGGTGTTCCTTTTCCACAAACACAGCTCTGACAGCCCCTCCAGTCCCCACACTCCTCAATCAACACTCCCTTAGACCATCACAGACAACTCCTACAGTATCACTAGGCTCTGCGACGTCCTGGAGCTGGGATGACGTCCTCTCTGTGTGGCTGTTTACCAGATTCTGCAGGTCCTCCCCTTCTGGATTCACAGGAGGATCGCACTTCTCTGCTCCTCCGAAGCCACGCACAGCCACGTGACATTATGTGTAGAGAAACTAAGTGACAGTCACATCTATCATGTCAGGAAGGAAGCTCTAAAAGCCTGGCAGGCAGGCTGTGCTCCCCTCTGGCCCCTGTCCTGGTGCACTGGAAGAAGCCACGCACAGCCACGTGACATTATGTGTAGAGAAACTAAGTGACAGTCACATCTATCATGTCAGGAAGGAAGCTCTAAAAGCCTGGCAGGCAGGCTGTGCTCCCCTCTGGCCCCTGTCCTGGTGCACTGGAAGATGAGGGCCTCCGGCCTGGGTCCCTGAGGGAGAGGCCAGGGGCAGAGATGCCAGCTGATCTCAAGACAGACACGGAACACAAGCAGAAGGTAATCCTTTATGTTCACTGCAGAAAATAAGGAAGATTTGAAGGCTGTTTCTGCAACAAAACCAAGCTCATCCTGGCTGATAAATTACCACAACACTTAGCGTAATGCTCAACAGAAGTACACTGACTGGGAAAAAATCTGAGTGTATTTAAATCAACATTTATGCCAGTTTACTTTAGGAACCACTCATCAGCAAACTGGGACTCGGAGCTGCTGTGCTGGAACTTCTCTGGTGTTGTTAAAAGCTCAGAGCCCTGCTGGGATTAGGGAGAAACAAGAAGAATGTTCTGGCTTGCAGACAGCCCAAAGGCTTCCACGCCAGGCTGTGACACTTGTAGCTGCCTCCAAGATGACCTGAGACAGTAAGGTGGTGTGACAGGACCTACCAAGTGTCTCCTAATGTCCATGTCCCACTCCTTGGGAACACTAGCCCAAGGTTTACCCAGACACACTGCCATCAGCTATGAGAACCCATCGCCCAGCCTCTTAGGCAAACGGGTTTAGCCATCTGACTAAGTTCTGCCAGTGAGATGTATAAAAAGAGGTGTTGCAAGCGACTTCCTGGAAGTCTTCTTAAAGAAGATCACCCTTCTTTTCCTTCCTGCTTTCTGGAATGCAGACATTATAGCAGCTCCTGAAGCACCATCTGGAACCATGAGATCACACAGTGAGGACAGCCGAGCAGCACAATAAAGAGGAACCTGGGTCTTTCACTGCCATGTGCAGCCACGTCTGCCTTGAACTGCCTACTCCGGACCTTTAATGTGACAGTGTATGTCTGTCTGTTAAGCCACTATTACTGACATTTTCTGTTAGGCAGAGTCAAAACTTAAACTTTACTGATGTAGACAGACACTGGCTCAGGACAGACCAGTAATACTCCCCTCAGAGGATCAGAATCCACAGCCCACGTGCTCCATACTCAATATTCACATAGTAAGAGAATCAAAGTTGTGGGCAGGAGAAGGGTTTGTTTCCATCCTGGTTGATGTAAGATTCAGATTTTTAGGAAATTAGAGAACTAAGATTTAAAATTTCTTTTAAAAATTTCCAGAATAAAATCTTTATATCCTAAAATCAAAGGACAAAGAACTTCAGGTTCTAACTATGAATTAATCAGAGTTTTTCCATTACCCGTTTTCAATGCAAACTTCATAAGCAGCACCACGGCCTGCTCCAGAGGGGGCTCTCCAAGAACAGTCCCACACTTGTAAATTGTTAGTAACACACTTCAAATCATGAGGAGTCCCTAGAGAAGGAGAAACAGAACACACAAACACACACACACACAATACACTTATTAATTTAACTGCACTGTAAAAGTCAACAAGTCAAACCGTCCTCAGCCTTAAGCGTAAGTCTCTGAGGGCCTGTGTTCGTTACGCAGAGGTGAACCTGCAGTCACAGGAGGTGGCTGGTTTTATATTTCTTTTTGTAGCTTTGGTTTTAAAAAAGCTAATGAGTAAACCGATGAAAGTGGGCCAAGCGCTA